ATTCAATATAATTTTAATAATATTTATTTTTTATAATTTATAATTAATTAATTAAAAAAATAATAATACATATATAAATAATAATAATAAATAATATTTAGAAAAATATAAAAAATTATAAAAATTATAAAAAATATAAAAAAATATATATAATATAAAATTCCTATTATATATAAATAAATTATTTTTTTTTTATTATTTTTTATATTTATTTATTTAATATATAAAGAAAAATATTTATTAAATATATTAAGATATATAAATTATATAATTTAATATTTCAAAAATTCAATGTTTCCTAAGAATTAATATTCCAAATTATTTCCATAAGTAATCGAAAATATCGAAATAATAATTTTATATAATTTAAGATTTTTGTAATGGAGGTAATATTTTTTAGGCAAACGGTCAAAATCATGGATAATAATTTATTATATTATAATTATATTAATTTAATTTAATATATTTTAATTTCGACAATATATTGGAGTAAAATATCCTGGGTGATCCTGGGTGAAACAAATTGAATGTTGGATTCTCCCGCTGTCCGTATCGCCTTCAGCACAGATCTGCAGAGAGCAGGCAAACCCCAGCCCAAAGGCTTAGAGCGCTTTCAAGATCTTTCAAGGCTGCAGATGCCTCATGGACATGCCCGAAACGCCGCGCGGTTCCTATGTGATCATGGTATTTTTCAGTTTCTCCATTCGGTCCTATCTTTCAAATGCAAAGGTAGATAGAATCAAGCATTAATTTCACAGTGGCACATTCAGATAAGGGATTCACGCCAGCAAAGAGAATGCAAAGCGCTGATATGCATGGTGATGTCTTATTGTGGGCTCAACAATGATGGCTTTGGAATCCCATCTTATTTGGGCCACAGCACCAAGGTCTAGGACGATTTCTGCATCCGGCCGCTGGCATAAGCCAGGGAAGCTAAGCTAATATTTCCCTATGTCATCTATTTCCAGACGATACATCTGCTAGTGAAACCTACAGACTGAAGTAACTGATGTGTCGGTGGCAACCCTTACAGAAGAACTGATCACCCGACGCTGCGATGTATCCGGTCACGACCCTTGAGAGCATTCGGGCCCTTCTGATGTGACCCTACCCTACGGGCGATGGTGAGACATTCTCAGGGTCTTTGCAGCCACAGGCCTACGAAACCTGAACTGTTGATGTATGTTGATGTAATGAAATCTACTCACTTGGTTCATTCTGTCCAAGCTTTCTTGGAATATCTTGTAATTTCTGTATCCAAAATGGAAGCCGGGTATCCGAAAAACCCCAGGGCACCACCCAAGTCTTTGGGTTGGTGCTGTGCTCGCCAGGCCAGGCTCTCAGGAGAAGGTGGCAAAGTCCTTGTCCCAGCCACTTCCATCATCCTCAGCCGACGCCATCATTGTGTGCCAATTATGAACTTGAGACCATCGCAACTCTGAGAGAATAACACATGTGTTCTTAGATATGTTTTCCAGAAACCAAGCAGGTACCCTCCTTTGCCACCTGCCTTTCAATGTGAGAAATGAAGAGAAATGAAACTTTGGGATTGAAGAGCCACTTGAATCAGAGAGCCTTTGAACATGCCAAGGTCCAAATCGCAAAAAAAAAAACATCAAAACATAGAGAGAGAGAGGGAAAGAGGGATGAGAATTGATACTAAAGTTTGAGGATTTTGACTTGTTCACCGATGATGTTCACATATGTTCACATATGTTCACATAGTTCCACATACTTTGATTCATATTTCCCATTGAAATCAGCATTCAGAGTGACTTGCCCATATTGTCCCATATGAAATCCCATATGTGTCCCATATGTGTCCCATTTTTTCCCATCGCTGTTGCCATGCTGAGATGCTTTGTACGGAACTTGTGGAGGTAGGTCTTCCTTTCTCGCTGAGAAATTGGCCAGGTCCTGTGCCCGCCAATAGAACTGGGTTGCTACAGCCAAATTTGCACATCTTCATCCAAATAATTTAATATATATATAACATAACTATATTATATATATATATGTATATAATTCCAAGTGAAACCAAATGAATAAATTATATACTATTAATATGCTATGAAATACCTGGATTTGCAGCGTTTCGGCAAATAATGAATCAACTAAATAATCATTAACTGCAAGGACTCTGCTGTAAAACCGACTCATGCAGCGTGTCCTTCTTGCTCTTGACTTGTGGCTTGTACGGTGGATCCATTTTTCCAGCCTGCGAAGCGGGTTGGTAGGTTGGTGGGGTCAAGAATAAGTGCGTGAATGTTGGTCCAAGTCCAACGACGGTCTAGTATAACAATCACAAATCAATTAAGCAAATTGAATGAGACAATGAGACTATGTCAGTTTAGTTCCAGTTTAGTTCTAGTATGTTCTAGCATTCTGAACATCACCTGCAAGGGGGTTCTTACAGAACATCATTCCTCATGCATCACATCTTGGGCACCTCATAGGCTTCCCAGTCAAAGCCCTTGTAGAACAGGTGCCTGGACTCTGGACACGGCAGATTCGTTCCATAGGAGCACTAGAGTGAAGGTGAGTGGCTCTGAAGAATCAGTTGGGTTTTTTCATGGAAATCCTTTCGCATCCTTTCGCACTGGTCTAGGTGCGTCTCGAAAAGGAGGCCATGGATCAATCCTGGGCCCCAAGCTTTTTGATGTTTCCGACGCCACCTTTCTTCATGGGCAATCGCTCAGAAGGATCCTGTGCGGAACAGAACATCTGAAGACTCACGCACACAGAACATCCAGCTTTCAGTTAGATGGGAAAGATCGGAATACAAGAATCAATCTAGTTTTAGGATGTGTTCGGCATATATTCTACCCCTGCAGACGAATCCCACAAATCCAAACATGGAACGATACCAGCAGTGTACATCCACCCGGCAAAGACCCCTGGAGACTGGTCCTTCTTGCAAAGGCCCTTGACAAGATCCTCAGCCTTGGTATACCGCACAGCTGGATGTTGCTGGGTATGTCATGATGGTTGGAGGACTGTGATCATAAATCATATGAAATCCATTACCGTAAAATCCAAGCAAATTCAACCCAAAGACCAACAGCATCCCAGTGAACGCACATGGCACAAAGCCACCTCAACTACCTCCATATCCCTCCATACTTGGACTTGAAAACATGAGGAGCAACGCGCTTGTGGCCACCTCAGCCAAGCTGCAGCGCCTTTGCACTTTGGTGGGAAAACGACCTTGTTGATACCTTTGCTGACCTTCAGGGGTGATCATCACTGATGTCACTGTCAAATGTTCGCATATGTTCCCGTGAAGGCAGGGCCTTCTGATAGATCTGCATGGGGTAGGCTGACTCAAAGGGCGGATGCCCACCTCACAAGTCAATGCTCAGTCACTCAATTTCAGAGTCTGGTTGCTTGAACCCATCCGGAAAACAGAAATGTCATTTGGGATCCAAAATCTTACCGCCAGCCAGTACTGTAGTGGCATCCCTACTGGTCCACTGCCGAAGCACTGAGCAGCTCAAAGGTGAGGATGCCTAGTGTCCACCAGTCTACCTGAAGCTTCATCGGGTCAATAGCACATTCAAATATGTGCGAAACATGTGGAGATTTGTCCTATCCCACTGTACGCACAGAAAATTCACTAAATCGGACTATCACATGCGGTGTCGAAGTGATGAGTCGACCCAGGCAAGTTGAGGAGCAACCATTCAATCCAGAGTCAGGTGCTTGAGATTCCAAACAAGTCAGAAGGCACTTCTCGAGCTCCTCCTACTTCTCCCTCAACCGCTCGTTACTCCCCCTTCAAATGAGGAACACAAACAATTGTGGACACAGCAGTGGACACCTGCTATATTTCCATGCTCAGGAGACTCGTTTTCAACACCATGGCACGGCTTGTGCCAAGCAACTGGGTGCGAGTGCCCCGCGGATGCAATCAACTCCGGAGCAAAGTAGTCTGGGGTACCACACCTGGGGCCGTGCAAAGGGCATGGGTGTCAACTGCTCCAAAGCACAAAGGGCTCCTCAATCTTCATGCTTCAAACATCTTCACGAAACTATACATGCCGGCGGCATCCAGCTCAAGTCGTCCGTACTTTCACAGATTGCCAGGATACGTGGTGTAGGTCTTTCCAACCACCACTTTGGCCAGGCCCATATCGGTCAGCTTCACCAGTCCGCTCTCGTTCCTGGGTATACCAATTTCCAACTTGACTCGGCTTATAACCAATTTGTAACCAGCAGGGTCAGCACTCTATCCACTTGTTTGCACCCACTGGGCCCAAAATCCTGCAACTTTCCATTAATTGTTCAGCGCACTTCAAAACCATGGATGTTGTTGGTACATCTTTGCGCCTTGCTCCGAGAAAACCAATGCCAGTCTCACCTTTGCATCACCTAGACTTGTCTTGCCTTCGTACCTCAACTCTGATATGTAAACGTTGCAGGAAACAAAAAGAGAATATGTTCATGTTGCACAGGTTCGGAGAGCTCGAGTAGGTAAACTCACAGCTGCAGCCTCAGGTATGCTAGACCCTTCCAGCTCCACAACGATTGGGGGTACTTCTTGACTCGGACCAAGCTTCAGCAAAATGTTCTCCGGTTTCAAATCACCTTGGACCGGTGCACCACCAGAGGTTCAAGAAGTTTCGCAGTCACTGCTTCTCACAGGAATGGCTTCGGAAGTGTGCATCTGCGGAACTGCCCACATTTTCCTCCTCAAGGTTTTGGTGAGGGCTCCGAAATCTAAATCGGAAAAATGTCGACATCAACGGATTTGTCGCTGCTCATCAACGGATATCAACGTCACGGCAGGCGCCAAGCGACGGAACACAATCTTCTTGCCTTAGAGCATGACATGGCCAGGTGCCAGGTATCCAAGCATTGGATGGTGAAAACATGTGAAAACAAAACCTGGTGAACATCTTGGCAGAGAATCTCACCTTAAAAAAAAAAAAAACTCTCCTTCGCTTTAAGATCCATAGATCCTTCCGTATGGTTTCAAAGCAACTTTTCTGCGCAAAGGAAAAGCTTACTGCCCCCTTCCTTCATCGAAACGCGATGAACCCTCTCCAAAAGCACGGTCAGACTGGAGGTTGCTGGTTGTTATGTCCTTTACAAACAAAAAATGCAACAAAATGTTTGTTTGCTGGATTTTGCTGGTCTATCAACGGTTGGTTGCTTCAGAACACTCATCTTGTGATACTAGGTCCATTTGCAAGCTTTCCCTGCTAGCTGCTAGAGGATCTGGCATGTCTAAAGTATTCCAGATGGGCACAGGCTCGTTCTGTGAATATGTCTGACTACCGACTTAGTGTGACCCTTGATAATTTAGCAAGTAAAGTTTGTCTGTCAAGTCCAGGACTTTCAACCAATCTGTGAAGCCAGGAGAAACCAGGTCTTCGTATTCCGGAGCAGCGGGGTCTAGAAGTCTTTGACAAAGACAACCATGACAGCCAGGGCCCACTACTTTTCAGGGGAAAAGCCTATCATATCATTGTAGGCTTTATATCTATGATAACCCATCACATCCCCATATGACCATAGTTTACCATTAAATCCCCATGAAATCCCCATACGAAGTACAATCACAAAATCCCCGCTGCAGCCAACGTTGCTGTGTAGATGTTCGAAGGCCAAAAGCACTCCAGCGGTGTAGAACTTGGCATGTTGCTCCTGTTTGGAGCAGCTTTGGTGTTACAATTTCTGCCTCCCTCAACCTCGGACGTTGGTTTGAAAGATCCTTTCACAATCCAGCTTTGTCTTTGGAACATCGAAACTAGCTGAATGATTTTCCCATTAAGACCTCCATGGTTAGGGGATTGTCCATGATTTTGTTCCAACGATTTTCCCACAACCTACAATTCATGTGTAGCGGTTCTGCTCCTTTCCAAAGAGGCCCTTCTTGTTGTAAGTTGCATAGAGTTCTCCTCCAAGAGCGAGCTCCTCCAACACGATCATGGCAGGGGATACCCAACATCTCCCAGACATGACGAGGATGATGAGGATGATGAGGATGATGATGATGAGGATGGTGATGATGATGATGATGATGAGGATGAGGATGAGGATGAGGATGAGGATGAGGATGAGGATGAGGATGATGATGATGATGATGATGATGCTGATGATGGGGATGATGCGGATGATGAGGATGGGGATGATGAGGATGATGAGGATGATGAGGATGATGATGATGATGATGAGGATGATGATGATGATGAGGATGAGGATGAGGATGATGAGGATGGTGATGATGATGATGATGATGATGATGATGATGATGATGAGGATGAGGAGGATGAGGAGGATGAGGATGAGGATGAGGATGAGGATGAGGATGAGGATGAGGATGAGGATGAGGATGAGGATGAGGATGAGGATGATGATGATGATGATGATGATGATGATGATGATGAGAAGGAGGAGGTTTGTGAGAAGAGCCCAAACATGAAGCAACAATGGCATTGCATACTTTCAATGTTCCTTCTATGTATCCACTAGCCACTAAACAGTATAGAGGTGCATTCAGCCATCAGTTGAAATAGTTGTTCCTCGCAAGGGCTACTGTACAGCTTGGTCTTTTTTATGGTGACATGTTCAACTTTGTTCCAACAAAAGAAATCTCCAAAAGAAATCTCCCAAAGGCAGATTTGTAGCTCCAGCAAGAAGTAGAGGTTCTGGGTGCCGCTGTAGGTCTCATAGAGTTTGATCTGAGATGGTGGGCAAATATCGCTTAAACGGTTCAAATTTGGGGATTTTTCTCAAAACCGATGAAAAAAAAAGGCGTGACGAAGCTCCATTTGCTAAAAGTCTTGAGGAACCCCAAGTGCAGTAGAAGCGGCAATGAAGGGAGAGTCGCCTCAGCAAACCAATTGCTGTGCTACACGGTGAAGGGATATGTACATTGCCTTCAACGACTACAGTGACTACAGTAGACTTCAATGAACGAACGCTCACGTGATTCAACTGAGAGCTGTCCCACGTCGATTAAGCACAACAGTGCTCTTGTGCAATTATGTTACAAAAATTGTGCTTTGCTCTTAGCAATTGTACTTTGAACCGGTGTATATTTCCCAAGCAACAGCGCAACATACTTGATTTCTGGCAGAGCTGGCGCTCCCTGGAACAGCTGGATCATGCTGAATTCCCTGTCAAATCTGCCCATGACATATCATTAATGTAGTAAGCCCACTAGTGAATCTCCACCTTATACAAGCCATGTCTGGTTAAATTGGGGGTCTATTGTGGGATTGACCACACTGTGGACCATACTTGTATATTCTTCCAAAGCGTCGGAGGCGTGAAGTCCAAGTCACACATGAGCTGCACATTCTTCTCACTCATCACACTAGTCTGCATGCCCGATTTCACCACAAATCCTTTACCTTAGATCCACAGCAGATCGACCAAGTTCCTGAACCCAACACAGAGGCGGCATTCCCTGTTTTCAAAAACATAGTTCTATATATATATATATAGTCTATATACAGTACATCGAATTTGGTGGTACAAAGGACTGACAGCGACTCTTTTTGAGGCTTTCATGACTTGTCTAGTTGTGTGACTTGCAGACTCTGCCCAAGAGGGATTCCAGAGTGATTCATGTTTTTTTTCGTGCCCACTCCCCCAGTACCTGCTGAGCCTCCTTCGGGGAACCCAGGCCAAGTCACTCAAAGCTTTCAAGGCGTAAGTATCTCCAGTGTCCACCTGCTAGGTGGATTGCACCATCTCCCAACCCAAATCCATGGAGCTCAACAGTCAACATTTTTAGCAAAGCAGCATGCACAACTAATCGCGGCAAAAAGCAACGTGACTTCTCCATATTTCTGGAAATATGTTGGTCCCAATCATTATTTGCTGGAACACTTCACCCGAATTTACCATGATCTGTTTACCAAAGTAACCTGTCTGCAAACTTTGTGGCGTCAACTCATCCCAAAAACGCCAGTGCTAGTTGGGAGCATCGTCCCAAAATATCCCAAATAAACTGGATGCAAATACAATAATTACGGTGGCAAAAATAGGCACCGATCATCTTTATGGATCACATATTTGGATATATGATATATATATAATATAGATATAAATATATATATATATAATTATATATATATATTTGGTGTATATTTGTATATTTAGTATCTAACACCATTGAAAGTCGTCTCTAAACCATCCTAGCTGCCCCTCTCCAGTCATCTGTCAGGGCACGTGCTGCACCAGTTCCACAGCGCCAAAACCGCCGCAGCCCAACAGGCCCAGCTGTTTCAGCTTCTTCCTACCGAGCTTAGGAAACGGGGATGGTCTGGGAAGTCCATGTTGCAGTGAACTCAGTGATGCCTGCCCTTTCCACACTGGACAAGGGGAATTGCAGGTGCATTTTGCAGCTTAGAAACTCTTCAAGAAACATCCTTCATATATATCTTCGAATCTTCATTCATTTCAAAAAGTACAGAGGCCCATGAGTATGCAAAGATGAGGACACCCAAAATTCCATCTGGCCATATGGACACCCACAATCCCATGGCAGTCGGCATGGCACCAGCCTGTCAATGTTTCCAAAGCGCTTTTTGCCTGCGACGGGGTTTCTGCCTTCATCGTGTCTCTATTGGGAAATCAGGATGTATCCGGATTTTGCGCTGCATGGGCTCAGTTCGAATGCTTCTAGTTTGCGAGCTGCAAAATGCGTTCGTGGATTGGAACGTTTCTTATTTCTTCGTCAAATCCGTAAGGCATCCACCCCACACATCGCCACACCCGTTCACTTGCCTGACGTGTCATTCTGGCGTGGTACAAGGTGTGGGGCTTTGTTGTCACCACCCTTGATCAGCACGCTAGGGGCGTCCTGTCGATAGGCGTTGCAGCTATCGCTCTGAAAATGCACTCCATCAAGATCCACTTCTTTGGCAACGTTGCTCAATTGCTCTATCTAAATTCCGAAACATTCAGAAGAATAAACCTCTGTCCCCCTTCCCTCAACCTTTCCCCAATTTCCCCTCGATTGAACGCTGCGCTGCCAGTCCCTGCCGCGCTTGTTGAGGTCTTCCAGTGGGCCCAGGATCATGTCAAAGGTAGCTTTGTCCAAGACCAACGCCTGCCACTCCATGGTCCAATGAATTCGTCCAATAGTGCCAATTACTCTCAGAATTGTTTCATGGTAAAAAATGATGTGATGATACGGTAGAGTCTGATAGTCTTAGAACCCTGATAGTCTTAGAACCTCATCCCACCAAATGATGGCAAATCGGCCCATCTGTTCTGCGTGGTTTGGGTGATCCTGGTGAATCACCACGAGCCGCCTTGGCTTTTTCTGAACGCACTCGAATGGTGGCAGTGCGTGGCTCCTGAATGAAATTCCAGTTGATTTAAAGATTGAATGTCGAGAAAAAAGGATTCCGAATCTTGAACCCAAAACCGGAAGTGTTGATACATGTTGATACTAGTCAAATTGAAAAGAATGATGACCCCAATCACACCTCTACACAAAGAGTGAAGCAGCAAAAAGCAGAAATATGCAACACAGGAGAAATCCATATCTGCAAAAAAAGGTCCGATTCTTTCCCAACGTCTGCTTGGCAAGCATGCCTACAAATCATAAAATATTGACAATAATAATAAGATATATAAATAATTTCTGACAATGTTGAGAAATTGAGAATTGAGAAAATATCTATTGTTATCAAAGAATCCTACGTGGCTGTCCCTCCCATTCACACCAAAATAGATCGTAGTGGTATAGCTCAATATTCATCACCCATCCATATGGAAAACCAGAGGTTTTGACCCATTCCTATTGCTGGATACACCTCAATTGGATCGACCCACAAATCACGTCCTTGGTCAGCAAGGCCCGCTCTCCGAAGATTGAGGCCTGCGGCGAAAACAGGGAGATCCTCCAAACAATCACGGATGGTAACAATGTGGTCATGGGAATGTGTATGTTAATGTATATTTATAAGAGTGTGTGTGTGTGCGCGCATATGTACGTCAAGAGATGCCAGCAGCGTACATCATCTCTGTCTGTGTATGTATTGCACCTTATGTACGTACATACATACATACATGCATACATGCATGCATGCCTGCCTACCTACATACATGCCATGCCATGCCATGCCATGCCATGCCATGCCATGCCATACCTACATTCATTACATACATTACATTACATTACATTACAATACATTACACTACATTACATTACGTTACATTACATTACATACATTACATTACAAACATTCCATTACATTACATACATTGCATGACATGACATGACATGACATTACATTCCATTACATTGCATTAAATTACATTAGATTGCATTACATTACATTGCATTACGTTGCGTTGCATTGAATTACATACATTCCATTCCCTTACATTACATCACAATACATTATATTACATTACATTGCATTGCATTGCATTGCATTGCATTGCGCATTGCATTCATTGCATTACAATACATTCCATTACATTACATTACAATACATTACATTGCATTGCAAATTGCATTGCATTCCACTGCATTACATTACATTGCATTGAATTGCATTGAATTGCATACATTACATTCCATTCTATTCCATTACATTACATACCATTACATTGCATTGCATTGCATTGGATTGCATTGCATTACATTACATTGCATTACAGTGCATACATACATATATGAATATGTATACATATATACATGTATATATAATGTTCATATTGATGCTCATTTAAGTACACTCTGTGGGTCCCAAAGCGCCCATCACCCTTCGTCTTCACCTGCGCTGCAGTGGCTTTGAGACGAGTCTGCTCCGTACTGTCTTTGATCACCGCAACCTGAGAGCCACAATGGATCAAGCCAGTTGCAAACTGGGATGTGTGTGCTTATATTATGTATTTATATATATATATATGTATATGTACACGTCCTAAACTACCGTATAACTGGGATATTGGATATACAATAACTGGGATATGATATTGGTTTGTATTATATCCGTCCCAAATATGTGTGCATGATCTACCTAATCATATCCTGGGATATACCAGTTAATCCCTACGAAAAAATGCGACATCTGACATCTCCAAATATTACCCGACGGCCCGCCTCGCCATCAATGAGGATGTAGAAGTCATCACCTCGCACCGAACAAGCCGACTAGATCTGCAAAAAGTAACCAGTTGATGTTCTTTTGTCCATTTGTTCTGGTGGGAGAGTGCAGATTCAGAAGCCGAAGCTACCTTCAAGCTCAATGTTTGTCGAAATGTGTTCATTTCAAACCGTTTTCAAGTGGTTATGACAATAAACACGTCAATGGCATTTCAGTTGGCTACAGCGGCTACACGACAAATGGCAATGGTGGCTTGCAATCATACAGCAATGGCATGGGACACATCCATCTGCACAGATCTGCATGGCACCATGGCACCTTGCTCACCCTGAGTCAAGACATCTTCACCCTGTGTGAAGGACATTTCCCGCAGGGCTGCCCTGGCAAGTCCGTGGATCCAGATGTGCCGCTTGATGCTTGAAGCACGCATGGTGATGCATCATGAAAACACGATGAATAATCATAATATGACAAAGATCTGATGCATGACCTGATGCAATGAAAGACCTCAGGCTGAACCAAACACTGGTTGCATCTTTCTACTGAATCGGGATCCAGGATCCAGTTGCAGCCAGGTTGCGCCACTGCTGCTTTTTCATCGGGCTTCAGCTTGGCAAGCAGATTCACCTGGTTACTCATGAGGCGATGATGAAACTACAAACGGGAAGGTTGTGTGCATGGCGGATACACGGATACAATCCTTGGAAAAAGTCAAAACTTCTCAAAATAAGGAACTTGTCAGAATATGACAATCTCTGCAATTCCGAGCCCTGTCTCAGATTCTGTTCAGTTTGCAATCGGTTGCAAGGCTGCCCTTCCCCGAGCCTTGTCCAAGTATTTGATGTACTCCTGGAATGGTGAAGAAAGCTGAAACAACAAAACCAACAACAAGTGATTTAAAATCTTCAAAATCTGGAAGGCTGCCACATCCTCCAGTCCGGTTTCAGTGTAGCCAAGTTTCAGCATGACTAAAACCAGCAAGGATCTGCAATGAGGGATGAATTTCTTAAGAGTACAGTCATTCATGTCGTTCAGAATTGGACTTGTGCAGTCCTAACATCTGGGACCGTTCAAAATCCAGCACCATTCTCTTCTCTGTCCTTGACGATGTCGTCTGCTGATTTCTCCAGAGTCGACTTGAAGGTCCGCCTATCAATGACCCAGACCTCGAAATAAGCAGCAAACGTCCAGCTCACAAACAGCCAAATAGCACACATCTCAAACTCAGAAAACAAGCAGATTTCCAGGGCTGACAAGGTGTTCTGTATGGCATGATGTGGGAAACATTGATGTGTTTTGTGTTTGTTTTTCCAACCAAGGCGCCACAGATTCCTGCAAAGCCTTCACAGTGGCGGCTCGTGGTGCAAAGTACAGCAGCGCCAACCTCCGTCACTGACATTGGGTGGAAATGGAGATTTCAACCACTTCAACTAAAACCAATGTTGAAACAGTTGGTAGGAATCAATTTGGACAAAACGAATCAGAGTCCAAAAAAGATCAAAAAAGATCAAAAAAAGTCAAAAAAGATTACAGTGAAGAGCTTCCTTTGAAGACATCCGAGGTACTCTCCGAAGGATCCGCCCGCATCCACCACTCCGAGGATGTCTGCTGCTGCCTGGAAAGGAGCTAGGCAGGTAACCCATACAGGTCAACAGTGAGCTTGGGACATCTCCGAAACCACAGACAACTGCTGTTTAAAACACCGGAAATTGTCTGGGCATGTCCTTTCTTTCCACGACTGGTTCAACAAGGTCTTGCAAAGATGATCCAATGATCCCTGAAGTTTGTGGAATCTTTGGCTCTCAGAAATCCTGGGGGATCTGGTGGGTTTTTTGCACGACCCATTGACATCACACAGGGCTACCCATGATTTCCCCATGATTTCCCAAGGTGATCCATCCAATCCTTGGCAGAGTCCAGGCTCTGGGGCTCAGATCCCTTGGACAGGGAGATGGCGAACTTCCCCTTCTGCACCTGAGGCCCCCGAAGAATGATGATCTGAGAAGTCATTTGTATTTAAACTTAGTAATGATGCCAATCATTAGATATGTATATATATAATATATATATATACTAATAATTGTCGTCGTCATCATCATAATCATAATCATAGTTATAGTCATAAATAATCCTAATAACAACCATGATGATCATCATCATGGTCACTTCAAAATGTCAGCTCCACTACCAAAGAACAGCTGAATGATGCTGAACGCAGACTTCGATGCCAATGTGGACCCAGTTGCAATGTAGAAGTAGTCTGCACTCAAATCGCCCTCCTGGAAATGCTACACCAATTGGCTGGGTTCAGAAGCTCTCCAGGGAAGATTGACACCAGAAACTCCACCAAACTGGACATGTGGCTATGGCAAATTTGTGCTATTTCCCTGCCAAATTTATCTTTGCGTGTGTTTTGGCAGCGTTTATGTTTCCAACATGCCACAATGAACTGCTCCGGAAGCTATGGATCTGTCTCAACAAGCATGGCCGAAACACAATCTTATAAGTATATGAATATATAATAATATATATATATAAGTATGATTGTCTCAGTGATAGCTGCATGGTGTGGCTGTCATTTTGAGCCACAATGGTCTCTGCCCTTCGCCTCGATGATGGTGTGTCCAATTGGGACTGTCTCTTTCCAGGCGGCATCGATCAGCAGGGCAATCTTCTTGTCATCCAGAGGAACACAGCTCTGCCTTGTCTATCTATGAAAAAATCTATGGTTTATGGCTGGATAAACTATGGATATTAATCTATGGTTAATTATCCAAAGAATACGAAAGACGAATCTTCCCTGTGAAAAGAAAACGATTCCTTCGATGTTACACGGTCAACACAGAAAACTGTGAGCATTGGCCAAGACCAGGTTGAAATCCCTGATACTGGTTGCTTGGGATTTGAACCGTCTCCTGTGTAAATGAGAGTCACTCCCCATAAACATGCATAAACAACAAACCATTGCGTGGATCCCGAGTGGTAATGGCCAAAAAACCATGACTCTCGCAGTCATCTCAAACATCTGAGAAGCCAAGTCACAAGTTGTCGTTTTTCTTCAGTGCATCCGACATTAATTTTCGCTCCTGGAACAAATCAAAATCCAGAGAAACTAATGGCATGATGGGTTTCAGATCATCACCAGAGGAGGCTCTACCACATACGAGGGCGTCGGCAAGCAAGATATGATGCCTTGTGATGGTCCTCCCAAGGCCACAAGGGTTCCACGGGAATGCCATGCTTATTAATGTTGCAGTTGTATACAAGAAAGTACTTGATATTTGTACATATGTATATACTATATCATATATGTATATATATATTATAAGATATACAAACTATAAGTATAATGTACAGTATATAATGTTATATATATATACACACTACCCGTATGTTGCAGTTGCACAGAAGGCATGGCAACCTCCCTCGCCTCTGCAGTCTTGGGGCTGGGAGGTTTCACCTGAAGCAACTTACTGGAGTGCCCCATGTTTGTCCTCCAACAATACTGTTAACATGGGTAATATATGGTGAAATATACTGAAATCTATGCTGAAATATGGTGAAATATGGTGACATATGGTAACATCTGGTGAAATATGGTGACATATTCTCAAGGTCGGAGATGGTTGGAGACATGCAGTACCCCTTGGAGTTGGCACCTCTAGTGCCACGACTCCAGGAAGACTTGCACAAATTATATCAAATTATAATATGGAGCTACAGCAGCAATTGGATGTTATCAAAACCTATGTATACTTGTTGTGTACTGGTCTTGTCTTGTTACCGTAAATCTCGTTGATTCTTCGTCAACTGCTTTTGCTCGTTGTCTTGAGTACTAGGTGCAATCAAATGTGATCCTCACAAGTCTGGGCCAAGGGGCTACTAGCTCTTTGATCGCGCCACCAGCCACTGCCTTGTGAGCGACAGGGAATGCTGCTTGCTATCAGGTTCTAGAGTCTGGACCACGATCAAGCTAAACATGCACAGCATTGATACCCTTACAAACAGTTCCAAGAGCCAGATTTGTTTGAACTCCATATACAATCCTGTATATATATATATACATATATATATATGTGTATATATATATATATTTAACATGAAAGGAGCTCATTTTTCCCACAGAGGAAACTCGAGTAGTTAATAAATGGGAGGCATAGGCCCCCGTGTCAAAACGAAACCTGTACAACATTACCCTGTACAATCACCTAGAATTTTTTTTCCACCAAACTCACACACACCTGTGGTAAGTAACTTACTCTACCTCGATAAGGTAGGAAACCTCGATAAGGCACATGAGAAGCTCGATAAACCTCCCATGGTCATCCCCAAATAAAACACGCAAGATGTCATGGCGGTGAATGGGGAAAGGTGGAGGGTGAGAGGACAGCTGCAGAGCAGACACATGTTAAAACTGCGTGTCACTCACTCAAAATTTCGTTTGTTTCCACTTGGGATATTAACATGAAAGGAGCTCATTTTTCCCACAGAGGAAACTCGAGTAGTTAATAAATGGGAGGCATAGGCCCCCGTGTCAAAACGAAACCTGTACAACATTACCCTGTACAATCACCTAGAAAAATTTTTCCACCAAACTCACACACACCTGTGGTAAGTAGCTTACTCTACCTCGATAAGGTAGGAAACCTCGATAAGGCACATGAGAAGCTCGATAAACCTCCCATTTATCCAAGGTCAGCTGGGTCTCAGTCACACTTTAAAACTTCGAAAAAATTACTCCTACACAATGACCCAACCTCCCATAATCCCAGCGCTTTTTCCTGTCGAAGACGCCTGAGATGTTTGGCTCCCTTGAGGGCCCACTGCTTGACACGGCCACGTTGTGTGCCGGTCCATAGAAATCTGGCCATTGCCAGGGTCCCCTGATCAATGTATTGTTTAGCTGTGCGGCCACAGCTCCATCTGCCACGTTGCAGGGTAGCGTCCATAGAGGACGTTCCGAGAAAATACCAAGTGGCACCCCCTCGCCGAATGCCATAGGGGGCATAGTCGGCACCATTGAAGTCAAAGACCTCCAAGAGATTTTGCCAGAAGCGGCGGAAAGCTCCTGGGGTGGCAGCCCACAAAGGCCTCGTTGGGCCTGAAGCTTGCTTTACAGACACTGCTAAACTCCACACACGTGGGTCAGAGCAGGTGACAACTTGTGGGTTGCCATTTGAGGTCTTGGCAAAGGGAATGATGACGGTTATTCGTTGCCCGTCACGGTGAGGCATCAAATGCAGCGCTTGCAGCGAAAGCATCTCGGAGGTTCGCAAGAAACACATGAACCCCACAAGGAGCATGAGTGAAACGCCAGGAAATCCCTGGGTAAGACATACGCCAGCCATTGCCAGCAAGAGTTCCCAACTGATAGGGACCGCCCTTTCGGGGTGATGAATTCTTTGCCAGTTTTTGTAGAACTGGGTGGCAGTGGGGAGCTTAAAGCGCATGCCAGGGCAGAATCGTTTGAGCCCTGACAGTAAATGTCCCCCTTGGGCCAAGCTGTCGCCTTCCTGAAACAAGGCGTTCAGATACTCGCCCACCGCCACATCCAATTGTTTTTGAGTTCTCAGCGGCAGCTTTTCAACTTTTGCGAACAACATAAAGCGATCGAGCCCTTGGCGGTAGGCACGTAGTGTCCTCCTCTGCAGCCCTGCAAACCGCAGGTGTTTAGGCATCCTGTCTCCTGCGGCGCCTACTGGCACCGTCAGCAAAGTTCCACCGACTGATGGTCCAGGCTGTCAGAGGATACTGATCCGATGCCAATGCCAGGGCCGCTGTTTGCCGCAGGAGGCGGTTGAGGGGCCTGGACGGGCTCCTCCCTTTGCTCACCGCACCCCTGGTAACAGCGCTATCGACGATCGCCAGGTACCTCAGCTCATGCTTGGCCGGGTCCTTTGCTCTGCGTTTGAGCATGATGTTGAAAGCTGCAACTTCTCCCTCGTTGATGTGCCGCTCCTCACGCCAGGCATAGCTGAGGACCTCGCGCCAGTACCACCTGTAAGCAGGGTACGGCACTTCTTCGATCTTCTCATCACCCAGGAAAATCCTGAGGTCAGTGCCCCTGATGCTAGTGCGACGGGCCATTTCCCGAAGGTGTGCTGGCTCATACCCTCGGGTCATACCTTGCTCGAGTTCCACAATCCCATTTGCCACTGCATTGGCTACAGCCGGATCGCTTAAGCGCGCAGTGGACTTGCCCAGCTCTGCTTGAATCTTCCAGCATCGCCCGTCCAGGATGCCGCGGGCAATCCAAGGCTCCAGTTGCCTTTTGAGGCCTCTGGCATAAGCCTCGTTCTCGTCGATGCGGGCTTCATAGCCCCTGAGGTGCCCATGCCCAGGGCAGACGGGCAGGTGAAGCTCCCGCAGCACCTCTGGCATATTGGCCAAGAGACCATACCACTTTTCCCGGTCGCCACCCCAGCAGCAATTGCTGCCATAGGCAAAGCGAACTCGCCGTCCGTGAGCTCATTGAGAATGCCAAAGTACCAGAGCCAGCTCCGGTAAGGGTGCTCCAACGACACATACCGCCTTTGGCCAAATGTCCCCTGCATCCGCTTGAGGCCCCTCAAGGCCATTGCATTGGAGCGGCGTAGGTCAATCTTCATCTGATTGGGAACCCACGGGAACCCCATGACATGCTTGGCATCTCTGACCGCTTGAGGACCTGGTATTGTTCTTCCATCGGGCAGATGCACAGGGCGCCCTCGTGCTCGCGAGAACAGCCGACACTCAGGTTGTGAAAGCCATTCAAGATACATGGAACCCCAGCACTTCCTTGGTTGACACTGCACTGGCATGGAAACGTGACATACATACCACGGAAACGTGAAACAACGAAACGGCATGTTTCAGCCTTTTACATGTACAGATTTTCTCATGTCATCCAACTGCCACCGACGTGGCTCAAGCATCTGCGAGCAAAAGGTGCAATCCGGCTGCTGCCAGTGTGGGAGTTGTTTCCACACTGGTAGCGGAGCTACCAAGCTCCTGGGCTTTGGGGCCCGAACTTTCGAAGCGGCGCTTGACGCGCCTTGCAGCTGCGCAACATGGCGCTGCTGGAGACGTTCCGGTATGCGAACTTCATCCATGCCGAGGATGCTGTGACGAGCACTGAATCGAAGGGTGGTGGCTTACCTCGATTTGGTGGCGAAGCGCAGAAGCTTGCCGAGTACTGCTGGCGTGTGAGGGCGCGTGGCACTCGAGAAGCACTTCTGCCAGAAGAGGAGCAGAAGAAACTAGGACCACTTGGTTTGAGGTTGGTTGAAGGTTTGTCAGGGTCAGCACTTAGAATAGCCCAGTTGATTTCAACAACGGAGTTAGCTGGTGAAAAGGGTGCCGAAATGTTGTTGGAAAAGTTGAATGAAACCCTGAAGCCAAGAAGGATTCAGGAAGCACGTGAGTTGTACATGGCAGGTGCTCAGCAGAATGGCATGCTGAGCAGACAGCAAGGTGAACCTATGGGAACCTACTTGGTGCGCCGACAAGCATGGTACCAAGCTATGGTGGACCTCAACAAGGAGCTCAAACTGCCTGACCTGATCTTGGCCGAGCAGACGCTCACCAATGCCGGGATCACTGACAACATGCAGCTTTTGATACGCTCTGCAATCCAAGGTGATATGTCCCTGGAGAAGGTTGCCACTGAGTTGATTGCCCAGCACTCCAAGATCCATGAACGAGAAGCTCGAGGTTTTGGACCCCAACGACATGATGGAGCACGACCCAAAGGCGATGGCAGATCTTGGAAGTCTCATGGACAAGGGCATCGACATCAGCGTCATGGCTATGTGGCTGAAGAGGACTATGACGATTGGCATGAACCTGAGGCCTATCAGTCCTATGACCCTGTCTCAGAGGACACCCTGGACTATGAGGACACCACGAACTATGAGTATGAGTCCTACATGGGCGCTTCTGGCAACGATGAGTGCCAGATCTTGGCCATGCTGGCAGCTGATGGTTTGGACGTCAACGATGAAGAGTCCATGGACTATGCGGCAGATGTGATTCAGGCTGAGCTGGAAGCCTACTATGCGAGGGACAGAGCCATCAACAAAGGGATCAAAGGTTTCAAAGGCAAGGGCAAGAGCAAGGGCACCAAGCACTTCGATGTCTCTGGTCAGTTGTCATTGACCGAGCGACAACAGCGACTTCAGCTTCTGAAGAGTCGCACAACATGCAGGCGATGCAACCAAGTTGGACACTGGAGTGGAGATCCTAGCTGCCCAAAAGGATCTGGAAAGGGCAAACCTGCTGCTGGGGCCTCATCCAACAAGGGTGACAAGGGTTCTGGGAAGTCGCAACAACCCAAAACCAGAACCGTGTACTTTGCAGTTCATGGTGGAGAAGATGATGGTGAACAACATGGGTACATGGCTCAAAGGTACAATGCAGTACCACCTCCCAGCAGTTTGCAGGATGGTTTTGTCACGCCACAGCAGACACCTGTGGCCACTCCGACACCAACGCCAGATCGGCGACAGCTTGATGACCAACTTGTGCCTGTGACTCAGGTTGCTGAGGGCGCCACCTTGACCCAGGACGAGCTCGACACCTTCATGCTTGTGAATGCCTTGGGTGTCGCTGAAACCCGTGATGATGGACGAATGATCTATGAAGTTCCTGAAGAACTTGCAGGCTATGGACTTCCAGCCAATTTGACTGGATCTGGACTTCAAGAGCTCTTCAGAACTCTTCCACGACTGCCGGAACCTCTTGGACTTCCTGATCTATCCGGACAGTCTTCCATGCCGCCTCATGCTGAACCCATGCCTGTTCAAGAACAAGCTCAACCTCAACCTTCGATGAGCAAGGCAACAATGCCTATGCCAAGTGGACCTCCTGGTGATGAACCTCCTCAACATGACAGACCTCTATGTGAACACCTCCGTGTGACGACACGTGGATCCAATGCATATTACACCCTGCGACGATGCCTTGACTGCGGAATGGTTCTTTCACGAGAACGTCGAGAATCCACCGTCACTGGAGCTATGCCCAAGGGTGGTGCTGTTGGACCTGTTGGACATGTCTTTCATCCTGATCGGATGGACTGCCCTCACCACTCTGTGACCTGGGCTGGAACAAATGCGTTCCAATGGAGAAGGACCTGCCGTGCTTGTGGCGAAGTCCGCACTGGACCTGTTGCTGGCGCTGAGAGACTCAGAACTTCTGGAAGATCTGGCCCTGGACTTATGGCCACTGGCCCTGGACTTGCGGCCAACAACACTGGTCATGGACTTTCAGCTCAGGCACCTGGACTTGGCCTGCAGCGACCAGTGAGAGTCTCCTCCTTCCCCATGCTCATTCAGGTGATCCAACATGCCCTGAATGCCAAGCGAGCCAGCATGCCACAAGCTGAGACGGTGAGTTCCACAGAACTTCACATGCTCCTGGACTATGCCATCGGTGCCACTGCACTTCATGAACTTGAATCTGGACAAGCTCCTTTGGATTTTCATGGAGCAGCTTCTTCTTCTGCAGTGACTCCTCCATCCACGACTCCTGTCCCTGGCACTCCGGCTAGTTCTGCTCATCATGGACTTCACACACCTGGTGGCCAAAGCCAAGCTGAACACCTTGAAGATCTTGGCACGAACCTTGTCAACTTCGGCAAGTTCAAAGGTCAGACCTTTTACAAGGCCTGGTGTGATCGAAGCTATGTGGATTGGGCCCTGGAGGAGGAAGAGAATGTCAAGCGATCTGGGAAATCCATCGGAAGTGGCTTGAAACAGCTTTGCCACTACTTCCGTGAGATGCAGCGTCGCCCATCTCCTGCTCCATCGGTCTCTGGATTTATGGCCGTGCAGGACAGCTGTGGATCAGAGAATGACCTCATTGCCATCCTTGACACCGGATGCAATGCGACTTGTCATGGAAGCCAATGGTATGAACGTTTTGTGCAAGCCACTGGATGTCCCAATGTCAGCTTGGACACTTGCGCTGGATCCAACATGAAGGGCATCGGTGGCAACATGCGTGTCACTGGAAAACGTGTGCTTGAAGTTTGCTTTGAGTTGACATGTGGCACGTTTGCAAGAGGCACTTTGCCTTCCCTGGAGCTTGCCCAATCACAAGCCCCTCTCCTTTTGAGCCTCGAGACACAGAGGCAACTTGGCTTCCAGATTGACATTGCCAACAACAATGTCTTCAGCACAACCTTGCAGAGCAACTTGAAGCTTGTGCAACGTGATGGACTTTTGGCGATCCGTTTGATCCCAAGCTACATTGGCCTGAAGTGCACCATCGATGATGATGGCAACACCCGCTATGAAACTTCCCTTGAAGAGCCTGGTGAATATCAACTACATCAACAACAAGGTGATCCAGATCACAGCACTCAGGCTTTGCACAATGATGCTGAAGAAGATGAACTTCCCTTGACTCCGGAAGTGCATCTCGCTGTCGATGAGCTTCCAAAGACCACCCTCACAAAAGGTCAGAAGCGACAGCTGGCGCAGACCATCCATGAAGTCAAAGACAAGGACAACCACTTGTGGAGCTGCCTCAGAGCATCCAAGCATTTGTCACGACAGCCAAGAGTTTTGCCACGTGGCTGCCGAACGTTTTTGCTTGAGATTTTTGCTGGTGCTGCCCTCCTCTCCATGCTGGCGACTGATTTTGGACTTCCAGTCTCCCAGCCTGTTGATGTGACCCACGATGGCATCAACTTGAAATGGAAGCAACACCGAGACTTGATCGACCAGAAGATCGAGAAGGACGACCCCTACTGCATCAGCCTCTCGCCCACATGTGGACCTTGGTCTCCTTGGCAATATGTGAACCTTGCCAAAGACCCCAGTTTTGAGATGAAGCTGCACGAGATACGCCGTGAATGGCGTCCTGTGGTGCAATGGATGGTGCAGTTGATACGAAAGCGGCTTGCCAAAGGTCGCCAGATCATCTTTGAGCAACCCTGGCCTTCAAAGATGTGGGATTTGCTCTCTATGCAACGACTCCTACACGACGCTCCATGCGATGCAGCAACTGGTGAGCACCTTGAAGCCGTACGATGCGACCAATGCATGTTTGGGTTGAAAGATGTGGTCAACAAGCTGCCTCACAAGAAGCCCACCGGCATCATGACTGCCTCTGCTGGTGTGAAAGAGTTCATTGGCATCAAGTGCTCTGGCGATCATCAACATCAACAACTTGAAGGCTCCAATCGGACACATCGAGCTCAAGAATGGCCTATGGAATTTTGCAAGGCTATGATCTCTGGACTTTTGCGAGATCTGGAGCTCAACATGACCAAGTTGGCCTTCCCAGCCGAAGCTGTGGTGGAAGATAATCCTCTTGGAAGCCTTGACAAGATCTACGATGAGTCCGACCTTGCTCCACCTGGACTTCACCAACATCGAACAGATGACAAGGAGCTCAAGGGAGAAGAAGATCGTCAAGAGCGTGACGAAGCTTTGGCAGAAGAGGATGCGATCAGAAAACAAGAATGGCTGAGACTTCCTTACTCCCAACGAGTTGCTGTGCGTCGTCTTCACCAGATGACTGGCCATGCAAGCACCTCAGCCATGTCAAGAATGCTTCGTGTTGCCAAAGTTGCCCCTGAAGTCATCCAACGACTTCGATACTTCAAGTGCGAGGCTTGTCTTCAAGATCAAAAGCCCAAACCTCGACCTGTCGTCCGACCTCCAAATCCCTATGTGTTCAACTATGAGGTGACGGCAGATGTTTTTGAATGCCGTGATTCCCTTGGAAACCGATACAGTGTTTTGAGCGTCATTTGCATGGGCACTTTGTACCATGCTGCATGGGTAGTGTCTGAAGGTGGTGGAACCCCATCCAGTCTTCGCTGCGCTGAAGTTGTCAGAGATGGTTGGTTGCAATTTGGACCACCACGCTACATGACTGTGGACCGAGGGGTGCACAACCGTGGCCAATTTGCCGCACTGATGTCATCACAGGGCACCTACCTACGCTATGCTGGAACTGAAGCCCACTACCAGATCGGTAGAGCTGAGCGTCAAGGTTCCATCTTGAAAGAGATGATTGCTCACACTGTTCAAGGGAGGCACGTTGTTGGATCTCAAATGATGAAGATGGTTGTTTCTGAGTGCGCTTTTGTGAAAAACAACCGGATCAACCATGGCGGTTTTTCGCCTAGCCAATGGGTGCTTGGTCGTTTGCCTGAAGAAGTTTGCAGCCTCACTGCCGAACGAGCTGAAGGAGATCTTGGAGTGCATCAAGAAATCCTCACTGGAGAACATCAATTTGCACAGCAGCTGAACATCAGACAAGCTGCCAAAGAATCCTTTGCCCATGTGGACTCCAGCAACAGGATTCGAACTGCCTTGATGCGACGATCCACTCCTTGCAGAGGGCCCTATTTTCCTGGAGACTTGCTTTGCTTCTACCGTGGCAACAAGTGGTTTGGCCCAGCTCGAATGATTGGCAGAGAGGGACGCTCAAATCTCTGGCTGATTCATGGTGGCATTCCCATTGTCATCTCAGAGGAGAGCGTGCGACCTGCACTTGCTGGCGAAGTCATTGCCAAGCAGATCACTGAACTGAAGCCATCGAGAAAACGCAAGCGCCAGATCACCCAAGATGTTGACCATGAACTACCCTTCTTGGATGACCTGGACTTCCTTGATGGCAATGATGGAGATGAAGATGGATCTGGTGGTAGTGGACCTGGCTCCTACTTTCACCTTGGACGTGGTGGTGGTGAAGCAAATGTTCCTCCTTCTCCTGGTCCGATGAATGTGTCCGATGATCAGCAACAAGCACAGCCTGAACCTTTGCCTGATGATGGACTTGAGTACTCTCCTGGTACTCCAGTTGCTGAGGAGGATTCACACATGACACCTGAGGCGATTGATGGACTTCCTTTGGATGGTGATCCCAGCCTGCCACCTGGACTTGTGGCCTCACCATCTGAACAGTCACCTGGACTTGTGACTGAGCTGCCTGGACTTGCAGCTGCGCCTCAGCCTCCTCCCGGAATCAACTCACAATTGCCTGCAGTTCCTTTTGATGATTTTGATGAGTTGATGCAGGACGCTGTGCTGACATCGGATCAACCTCAACCTTCTGAAGTCAGAGGTCGTCTTCCGACCGTATCCGAGATTGAACCTGACCAGGAAGAAGTGCCACCGACAGTTCCTCCAACTCCTGGTCCAAACACTCCACGAGAACCTCAAGTTTCACAGCTCCAAGAGGCTATGAGGAGATCTGTCAACAAGCTTGATGGTGTGCCCAACAGACACCGCTCCAGATCTCCACCTCCTCGTGCCATGTTTGCATCTCAGACTGAGAAGCAGCAACAGCAAAGCTCAACTTTTCATGGTTTTGTGGCCAAGCGTGGTCCCAAGAAGAATGTTCAGAAGAAGATGGCGAAAGAGCTGAGCTATGGCCGAGCTGATGAGAGTTTGAAGGGACGCATTGATGCTGCCCGCACCAAAGAATGGAACAACTGGATTGGTTTTGATGCCTGTGAAGTTATTCCTCCTGAACAAGCTCAGCAGTTTTTGGAGAAGAACCCTGGCACTCAGGTGGTTCCAACACGATGGGTTGACATCAACAAAGCCCGTCAAGGTGAACCTGAGCAATTGAAATCACGTTTGGTTGTTCGAGGTGATTTGGAGAAAAGTGCGCAAGATGGTGGTGTGCGCACCGATTCACCTACAGCAAGTCACCTGATGCTTTCCATCCTTTTGACCTTTGCATCATGCCACTCTTTGATGCTGCACTGTGGCGATATCACAGCCGCGTTTCTCCAAGGTCTTGGACTTGCACGTGTTTTGATCATGGCCTTGCCCAAAGATGGTGTACCTGGGATTCCTGCTGGAAGTTTGCTGGTTGCCAAGAAGCCTGTCTATGGCACCAAAGATGCTCCCAGAGGTTTTTGGAGATCATTGCACAAAACAATGCTGAAAGCTGGATTTCGACCTGTGCCTCATGAGCAAGCGGCCTACGTCATGAATGGGCCGAATGGTGAGATTGATGGACTTTGCATTTGTCATGTAGATGATTTGCTTTGGTGTGGTGGTCAGAAGACCCAAGATGCGATGAAAGTGGTGCAAGAGCAACTCAAGTTTGGCAAAGTTGAAGATACCTCCTTCAAGTACTGCGGTAGAACAATTTCGCAGACAGATGAAGGAATTGTTGTTCAGTGCCCTCATGGACTTGAAAAGACCCGGCCGATCATGCTTAGCACTGGCCGAAAGCGTGACCGCACAGCTCAAGCGACTCCAGAAGAACAAGGACAGCTGCGCAGTGTCCTTGGCTCCCTTAACTGGATTGTGCGAGTGTGTCGCCCCGATTTGGCCTATGACACCAACAGACTCCAGACCTGCGTGCAACGACCAATTGTCCAAGATTTGGTCGATGCCAACAGCCTGCTTCGCCGAGCCCAGATGACAAAAGATCAGAAGTTGGTTTATGGTTGGAAACAGTTTGACTTTGACAGCATGGAGATCATTTCGATCACCGATGCCAGTCATGCTGCCGACTATGATTTGTCAGCTTCTGGAATGAAGATGGGATTTCGGTCTCAGTCAGGCCGTGTTCTTGCAGTTGGTGGCCCAGAGGTGATGCGCTCTGGAACTGGCCATATCCATTTGCTTGAGTGGAAAAGCCAGGTGATTCGACGCGTTTGCCGCTCCACGCTGCAAGCTGAGTCTTTGAGCATGCTTGCAGGTTATGAAGATGCAGAGCATTTGAGAATGGTTTTGCATGGTTTGAAAATACCGCATGACCCAAGAACTACCTCATGGCAGACTGAGTCCAAGGACGCCATAACAGTCCATGCGGTGACCGATTGCAGATCTCTCCGAGATCACCTTGTCCAATGCTCTGGTGGTGAAGTGCAAGACAAGCGTCTTGCCATCGATCTGTGTGGCCTGCGACAGATCATTTGGCGTGATGTTGGTGAAGAATATGGAGATCCGATGATGAGCGAGAACGTGCCTGAAGGCTCCACTACCAAAGTGAAGTGGTGCGATACGAAAACAATGCTGGCGGACGGTTTGACGAAACACATGGACACCGCTGATTTGAGATCAGCCATGTCCGGTAGCAAAGTTTTCATGCAGTTCACGTTTCATGCCAAAAACAATACGGGTGTGAAAGCCATTCAAGATACATGGAACCCCAGCACTTCCTTGGTTGACACTGCACTGGCATGGAAACGTGACATACATACCACGGAAACGTGAAACAACGAAACGGCATGTTTCAGCCTTTTACATGTACAGATTTTCTCATGTCATCCAACTGCCACCGACGTGGCTCAAGCATCTGCGAGCAAAAGGTGCAATCCGGCTGCTGCCAGTGTGGGAGTTGTTTCCACACAGGTCCCCAGTGCTCTGCGGCGAGCGACTCCAGCTCCGCAATCTTCTTCTTGCCTTCTGGGGAAAAGAAGTCATCTCCTGTCAGGAGGTCATAAGGCTGCTGCACCTCTATTCCACCGAGCTTTGCCACGGCCCGGGTCAACGGCGCGTTCTGCCCCGCAAATCTCTCGCCAAACTTGGGAATGATATATTCCTTGCGCCTGCATGCGCCATCTCTATGGTCAGTGATGCAGTGCAGGCCACACAGCTTCACTCCGCACTCTGCAGGGCAGGGGTAAGTACGGCCTTCTTCCAGCTCCCGCTCACACTGCGCACACTGACTGCCCAGGTGCCTGATCTGGTCAGGTTCATCTTTGAACTCCGTGGCAACGGCACCTCCACCACCGGTTGGGGACGCATCAGTGATCGTGACCTGCCTGTCAAAGCTGGCCCGCAAGTTCATGTACATGAGAGGCAAGAGGGCAACCACTGTGAAAATCTCATCAACTGTTCGTCGAGAAAGACAAACCGGACCTGCCCGTGCTCTCCCAATGTCCACAAAGACTTCCTCAAGCATAGACATAGTCGGCCTTCTGAAGGCCATGGCAAAAATGGCCTTCCCCACAAAATGCCTGAATTCAAACTCCGTGGCTTTGCCATATCCCATGAGCGCGGCAGCCAGCCCCATAAGGTTCACTTTCTTATCATGGGACGCCTCAAATGTCCCTGTGGTCCCATCAATGTCACCTCCTTGCAACGTTCCTCTCACTGCCCCCACCAGTTTCTTACCCTGGTTGAGTGGCAGGTGAAGCTCCTCACACGTGCGCACAAAATTTTTGTGGCGTTCAGATGCCACTCCTTCCAACACCTCCCGGGTCACTGCCTTGACTCTGCGCACCTCGTCGTAGCTATCAAGGTATACAACCGAGACGGAGTCGTCCTCGGGAAACCACTTCAACTTTGAAACCTCCGATGCCTCAGGGACCCGGCTCAGGCCAAACACTAGCCGTCTTACCACAGTCTGCATCAGGGCAACGGAGTTGATCCACCCCATGGGCACCACTTGTAGTCCCACGTACGACATTTCGTCAGGTGGCCCTCCAAACACTGATGACCTCACCTTCTTCGAGAAGGTACACATTCCCGCCCACTTTGGGGGTAAACGAAACAAGTTGAAACAAGACACCAGGTCCTCTGAGTCAATGAGGACTTCTTCATCAATGTCGATCTCCATCATCGCCATTTGACCCAAGTATGGCAAGTGTGCATCATCAGCCACCATGTGTGCCTGATACGTGTTGGATGGCACCAAGATGCTTATGAACCTTTGGAGAGTCTTCTCCTCGCCCCCGATGGTCTTCACCTTCTTGACCCCGCCAGCGCCGTTCAACACAGGGACACCGTTCTGGTCTCTGAACACTTCATTTTCGTCGACACGGCACATCATACCCCTCTCCACACCAGCCTTGACAATCAGCTCCCACTGCGCGTCAGTTGCTCTAACGCGGCTGGGAGGGGGCTTTTCCGGCCATGCGGCCCTCGGCAACAGGGCCAATGAAGGGTCATCCAGCTACGCCTGAACCTCGGGAAGCACAAAATCTCTGGCATCCTGTACACCTGCCTCGCCTGGCTTTGGCCAGCAGGGTAAGACTTTCTCAGCTTCGAGCTCCTCCATATATTGGATCCCCAGAATAGTCAAACCTCACAGCACCAATGCTCTGGCGGCACTTGGAAAACACGTCAACCTGGCCACCCTTCTCATCAAACCTCTGCACCGCACTAAAAATGCGGGTAAGCATGAGCTCCTGCGCTGCAGTCAGAACCGGTGGCCCCAGGCGGTTTCGTCCCATGCCTGAATGGTAATTCAACACCTCCACCACGGCCATGACCCAAGTTACCAACCTCTCTTCTTTACCTTTGAAAAACTCCGTAACCAGCCGTGCTCTCACTGGCAGCAGCTGAGGTGGCTCCACGGCCAACGGAGTCTCCTCTGTGGGCAACTCAAGCTCCATCTCCCTCTGGCCCAGAACAAACCCGGCCAGGGGAGAGTCAAGCTCAGGCAAAAGATCCCTCAAACAATTCATCAATTCCGCCGGCGTTCGCTCGGCCTCCAAAAAATCTCTCAGAGGCTTGCCCCACGCCAGCAGGTCATGCTTCGGACTCCCCGGCTCCGGGGGTAAATCTCCAGTTTCCTCCTCCTTCACTTGGCCTCGGGCTTCTTGGGCGTCTTGTCTGATTTGTCCCAAGGGCCCCTGTCTCCCTTCTCCTTTGTCTTGCCCTTGGCTCCCTTGGCTTTGCCTTTTCCTCCTCCTTCGCCTCTTCCTGGCGGGCGATCGTAGCTCTTCAGCTTCTGGTCCAGCAAGTACTCTTTCGTGACGAACATCTCTTCGTCGCGACCGAGAAGCATGCTGTTTTCTGGGGGCAGCAACTTCAGAAACTGCGCCGACCCCCAATGGCCTTCGTGTGAGGCCCTCTCCACGGCCTTGATCCTCTGGCAGACGATGTCCGCAGCTTTGGAAGGGGACCCCGCCGCTAACTGGTCCATGATGCTTCCAAGCGTCTTTAACTCCCGCGCGGATCGGAGTCCCGCTTTCGCTCCCAGGTTCGGAAGAAGAACCGTGAGTATGTGATGCATTGCAACTGGGGGGGTGCGACTGCTTTTTGAACTGGCCGGCCCCACTGTGTCCCTGGCTGTTGCGGCTTGCATCTTGAGCAAAAGCCTGCACGCCAGTCGCCCTGGACAACGGTTGGTGTAAGCCAGAAGTCGCTGCTGGCTGCTTTTCACGGACGCAGTGGGGCCCTTGTGAAAATCCGACTCTGAGCCGGAAGTCTCATCCTCTGCCTCGGCAAACTTAACAGGTTCACCTCCCCCAAATGGACCACGATCCTCATCGCCTGTTTTCCTTTTGGATTCAGAGCCCTTCTTGGCCCCGAACAACTCCTCATCGGACCTTGAACTAGAGTCACCGGATTCATCCGGGTCAGATTCAGCTCTCTTCTTCTTCTTCTTCTTCTTCTTCTTGTTCTTTTCGTCAGAACCCTCATCGGAGGCGCCAGCACTTGGACTCCTCCTGCGCTTCTCCTTTCTACCTTCCCGTTGCTTGTCCTTCTTTTTGTTCTTGGACTTCTCCTTGTCCTCACGGGACTTCTTCTTTTTCTTCTTGTCTTTCACCGCGCTCTTAGCACGGGTAACCCCTTCACCTTTGCCACGCCTCTTATTCATGGCGTCTTTCTTTCTTTGGCGCCCCTCCGCCGCATCCTGCTCAGCTTTCTTGAGCTCCTTTCGAAGCTGCATGATCTTTGCCTTGACGCCCGGGTCATCTGATTCGCTCTTCTCGTCATCTGACTCCTCACTGCTCTGTTCACCTACCTTCTTGGCAGGGTCATCCTCATCAGGCCAAGTCAGACCTGCATCTGCCCGTGGCTTCTTTGCGGCCTCAGGAGCGTCACCAACGCCGCCCACTACGCCTTTGAACTTCTTGTAGCAGAACTCGTAGGCGCTCATCAGGATCTTGTCCTTCAGCCAGGTCACTTTCTTGCTCTTGGCCATGGCGGTACCCAAGTTCCGGTACCGGTCGGTGTGGATCATGTCCGGGTACTTGCGCACACCCGGGCAGGCAGCAGTCTGCTCTGCGCACAGGTGGTAAAACCCCCGGTCTTTCGCAGGTGCATTCGGGCCTTCATTCATCCACCAGTGGTAGTAGACGTCAGAAGCACCCAAAAACATCCCGGCCACCACCGGACCTTTTCGATGAAGGCCCACCTCTTCGAGGACCCCCACCAGGACTGTCCCCTGAGGGTTTCCAGCGTCATCATAGACGCGTATTTCGATGGTGTCACCCACTTCAACCCGTGGAGGGCTTCCGCGGGAGACACCTACTTCAAACCATTCCCCCATCGTCCTCCCCTGCTCAGGTCAGAGCAGGGGGTCACCCTTGAGAGGACAGCTGCAGAGCAGACACATGTTAAAACTGCGTGTCACTCACTCAAAATTTCGTTTGTTTCCACTTGGGATAATATATAATTATATATATATGTATATATCAGCATATATTAAATACACCATCTTTATCCATTTTATCATGACTTGTCGTTTCCTGGGCTTCAACCGACACCCATCATGCGCATCTTACCCGTGAATCTCCAGTGCCTTTCGGATGGGGAAATCCAACTTCTCCCTGAGGCCCATCTCCTCCGGATTCCGGATGGAGATGGAACATCTACGGATAAAATATGGATCAAATAAGAATAATATGGTAAAATCTATGGTAAAATCTATGGTAATTTATATCATCTGAATATGGTTTTTAAAAAAAAATGTAACATCAACCATCTACCCGACCCTATCTGGCTATCTGATAAGATGAGTTGGAGCAACTCTGATATTGTAGCTAACCAGAAACCCACATTAGAAGAATGATGAATTTAGATTCATGGAAGCACAGCAAAAAAAAACAACTTAACTTGGGAGACAATGATAGAACATGTGTGCTTAGTTCATCTACAAATGGAGGATGGCAACATACAATAACTGGTTGGTAGTTTCAACCCCTCTGAAAAATGTTAGTCAAATGAGTCAAATGGGATTATTGTTCCCAATATATGGAAAAATATAAAATGTTCCAAACCAGCAACCAGCTAAGCATTGCTGTGTATTTCATTGTTAGGATAGATATACTGCATGTGGAAAGATGTGGAAAGGACAATTTTCAGATCAATCTGCCGCGCGAAGGTAGCCCTGGACCCATTTCCTCGAACTGGTTCCGAGAGATCCTGGAGTTGGTCCCGTCGATTTGGATACTGCTGAGTGGCAGTCAAATCCATTCAAAACACCAAATCATTGTTGCAGGATGCTGCAGCTACCGTTGATGTTTATATACTAGTTACTAGCATAATATGACGCAACGTCGGCTCATGCAAATATGTCTTTTCAATGGGGGGAAAAAAAAAAACATGTAAAATACATCGTACATAGTTAGCGCGGTGCATCCTACAACAGAACACACGGCTTTGCACATTCCTTGGATTCATCTGCTGACCCTATGCAAATTCATGCACCCCAGGGACCAAAATCAATACCTTGCCCACAATCAATTGGCATCACGTTTTTTCATGTCCAGGGACCCATGACCCTGCTACCATTGTTTTGGCACCTTCATGGGTCCCCAGAATGGAAGCCACCTGACCCACCAAAAACCCACCTCAACCCATCGGCCTAAAAGTGAACAGCTCGCTCTTCGCCAGGATTGTCGCACTCCTTGGCTCATCTCGAAGCAGAGCATTCTCCCCGAAGTAGTCACCTGCAACAACTGTGGCTATGGCTGAAACATGGAGCAACAAAGGAGCTACTAAACCAATAAGATCTAAGTAGAAAGATCCTGTTAGATCCTGTTAGATCCCATCATATGAATATTGAATAAATTTGAATCATTATATAGATGTAGCACATGATGTTTCTTTACACTTTTGTTACTTTTGTTTGTCTTCAACCATCCCAAAACGGCGTCAGATACGCGCCTTCCTTCAGAAGTGCGACCTGTCGTCCACCAACCACTACAGCTGCCTAGGCGCCAGGCTGAAAACTGATGCAACTCAGATCTGAGAAACAGAAAACATGTGATTCATTGGAGTAGAATGGAGTAAAAATGGTAAATGATAGTCACATATAGTCACCATGCAAACACAACTGGTTGACAATCTATCATGATAGAATATGATAGATGAGTCCATTGCATGCTGGTTGATTTTGCAAGGCAATTCAGCAAACTGTTCAAAATCCATCATGAATCGTCGCTTCCCTTTGGTTCGCAAGACTTGTGTAAACACAAATTCAGGATTATGTCAGACTCTGTCAGACCATCAAAAATCGATATCAATATGGTAGAACCTTGAATTTAAGACACTTTCCCACCCCAACGACAGTTTCAGGTGTTCGCAGGGGGATGAGCCAGATACCTCACCAGAGCGGACAATGAAGAAAGCATCTCCGGGGTCTCCCTCCTTGATGACCTCAGTCGCGACACGGTCTCCCGAAGAGGCTTCATCTCTCGTTGAAATGGGGTAAACCATGGTAAACCCAATGAACGTACCATGCCAGGGAATGGTTTTTGGCAAAGATCTAAGTATTGGGGATTGCTTACGATTGGGTTTAGCACGTTAAAACTTGTCTTGAATACGTCTTCTCATGTTTGATCTTCTCCGGCCTCTTCTTCAGATATGTTTTCTTAAATCACGTCTGCCACTCAGTTCTTACATGCCTCTGCCTCCTCGTGCTCATAGTCATCCGGTTGCCTTCTAGGTCGGACAGGTTATCAGTTCTTGAGCCGGAACTTCGGATTAATTACTTGGTATGATTGCGTGACAATGCCAGCTGCTAAGCCACTGTTTCGCCAGCATTGAAGTTTTTGGATTCACATGCGCTGACCAACGTTGGCATCTGTCCTCGCAAGTCAAATCACAGTCAAAGACTTCCAAGCTCTGGGCATTTGCTAGATGTTTGAAGGAAACATTGGAACATCTACTTTACTAAAGGAAATCTTCATAATGGGATGAAAAAAAAAACTCTGGGTATCCTATGGGTGTCCTGCTTATTTTTCCCGAAAACCACCCTCCAACAGCTCTTGGGGGAACACTCCTTCCGGAAGACGTTGAAAAAGCTTCACCTGCCCAAGGTGCAGCAAAACTTGGGTGAGTTGCTCATATTGGGGGGTGGTCATCAATCCATTAATGGGGATGTATGTACTGCAATATATATATATATATATTATATATATACTATATATATTAATTATATATATTATATTATATTATATTATATTATATTATATATATATATACGTATATACTTACCCATTATATAATGTTAGGTATATGTACCTATATATATATAATGACCTATCATATGAGTATATATACATATACAGAATACGTGTATATATATAGATTATTAATTATAAATTATAGGGATTTGATCTCCATTGTCGGATGGATTACCATAAACCACAAAAAAAAAAATGTGACTTGACCCAAACGCACAATATGCTTCGATGATTCGAGCCATCACTTACAGGTCACCGGCTTCAGCCGATTCCACAGGAAACATTCGTCACATTTGGGATCATCATATATCTTCATATGTCATCATCCCATTTTTAGATTTTTTAGGGATTGCAGACATCATTTCTAAACAAAAAAAACATGCAAAAAAAAAATGCAAACACACACATGTTCAACCACCACCCCCGATGAGTTCTGGTTCAACCACCCCTCAAGTGACTGATGTGCTTAGTGGCCTGCTTCAGAAATTTCCCGGGCTCAGAATCCACCACGGGCCGTTGCCCCCGCCCTGGCCGTGTTCGTCCAAAACTGGGAGCCTTCATGAAAATGATGAGAAAATATGGGCTGGAAATGGATGGAACGGCTTTTGTTTCCCAAATCCTCAAACAAACTCACGTGGGTTTACTGTCCAACTTTGGTTTAAGCCAACCATCCATTGGTTTAAGGAAACCATCTTTGGTTTAAGTGTCCTGTAGATGGGATTGGTCCAGGCTGGTGCGATCTGGTGTGTCGGCTCATGGATCTTCACAACGGTTTTAAACACACGAATGAAGAGCTGGAGAAGTTAAAATATCAAAACAGATTCAGATAAAACTGATAAAACGATCAAACCCAAAAGATCATTCTATGGATCAAAATGGACCTAAAGCCAAAATAGATTGTCGTGCCTTGTTCATTCTGAGGGAAGTCCTGGCAGCTGACTGAGCGGATATCGCAAGCCACTCTGTCCATGTCCGAGGGTGGCTTTGATCTCAGGAAAGTGTCGAGTGGCACATTGTTAGAATCTCTCACACTACTAATCTGAGATCCGCTAATATGAAAAGGCACAGGAATTCGCTTCGGACAGGTCCTCCGGTGCATTGCTGCAGTCTTTGCAAAGCAGCGACCCCATGGCGCCCTGCGTGGAAGGGACCCAATCAACATCTGCCATGCCTTCGGTTCCAGATCTTGCCCCAGATTGTGTCCAACCAAAAGTTTTTCAGGTCACAAAGGCTCACTGAGACTCTCCCCCAAATCAGCCTTGTTTGTTGTCGTCGCAGCTTCTCCAAGGATGTGCAAGTCCAAACAAGGGAACATCGAATCATATCTTTATCAAGAAAGCAAACCAATAACTGCACCTATCCCGGTCTATATCCTTATCCCATGTTGTCCCAGTCTTCCCCATTTTACATCTCCCAGGATTCTTCCACCCTTCCCTTCTCGCCCTCTGCCTTGAACAGCAGAAAGGGATGGCTGTGTCAAGAGCTCTGGAGCCCAAAAGTCAAGGTCCCTGTGCACCATGAAACCCAGAGAGAAGCTAGAGATCATTCTGGTTCGCTGACCCCTTGTAATGTTCAACACGCGAGCGACAGTGGTACTGCAACTACATGCAAATTTCCGGTGGAAGGCCAGTGCATGGCTCAACCATAGACGAACCCGTTGCATTGACTGCCTTGGAAATGTTCAAAGCAGTGCCCCTCGTCTTGGTTATCTTGGTGGAAGTTCCAAACCAAGCCTCCCGCGTCCCTACCAGTTCCGCCATTTTGAGCCATGGTGAAGTGCCACACCCTTTAGGTAACAAATGGCAGCTCTGCAGGCGATCTCACCACGGTCCTCGAAGTCAGGAAAGAACCAAATCCATAAAGCTGTAGTGATGAAATAAAATAAACATGGATCTGCAAACTGAAGTATGTTGTCGGCTATCTCGTGCAGATGCACCAAAAGTTGCAGTTGGGAATCTAAAAGACATCTTACCAGGTGTTTCACATTGATCATCAAGAACACTCATTTGCGCAGAGTTTGTGTTCCATAAAAGATTCCTTTCAAGGCATTTCACAGATTACTATAGCCAGCCTACTTGCCAAATTTTGCTGAGGGCAACAGAAAAAGAAGTGCCACTGAATCAAGGGCCTTGATAACATGAAAGCATGGACAGCACACACTAAGAGCGGCAACGGATGATATGAGAACCCTGGACCAAGCGCCACGCCCATGTGTTCAGAGCATTCAAATAGCCTTGCCGTCAGAATGCTGAACATCTTTCAAAAGTCCCATACAACCCGCCCATCAGTCCAATGAGGATAAGGAGCAAGAAGATCTTTGTGCAGAGAAACCAAGCCGCAGGAGCATGATGTGATGCTCTGAATCAATAAATAAATGAATGGAATGTTTCAATAAGGAGGACTTGTGCAGTGAAAGTCTTGGTGGGGCAGCTCACAGCAAAGACTATCTCGCGGGCCCCGCACGTTCATCGATACCAGAAATGCCGTAGAAGGCCCCTGCGATTTGACCTGGGACAGAAGGCACGTTGCATCCCTCTATTTTGAAGGACTTCACGGTATCTATGGTGACTGTAAAAGAAAATGTCAGACAACTAGTCGACAGAATCACCAGATCAGCACATCACATGAGATGTCAAGGTATTGGCCTGCGATGGCACCCACAGTGTCAGCATCACCCAGGAAATTGACGGCCTCTCATCATAAGCAGCCACAGGTGCAAAGCAAATGTCTTGCCCTCTCGGGCCATGCTGTGCTACCGTATGAAAGGCTTGCAACCTGGGGTCATCGTTCTTGAGCAGCGAATTCCAGTTATGGTATGTTATGGGTACATGATCCTAGCTCAACCATGGGGTAACTAGTGGAACCACCGATTGGATCATCCTTGCGCTTCCAAACCATCCATTTCTTGCGCTTCATTTTCAGCCAGACCTTCGCCTAATCATATCGGTTATCCCCCGCACTTAAGCTTCCCTATGCATAGGTATCGTGGCTGGGGACAATCAAATGTTTGTGGGACTACATAAATATACATATTATATATTATATAATCATATGAATTTATTATATATATATATATGACTAATGATTATATATATTGTTATATATAGTTATATGAATATGTATATATATATATATAATTATATGATTATATATACATAGATACGTAGTTATATGATTATTATATATATATATGATAATAATATGTATATTAATGTGTCCGTTTCTATATGTGTGTTGGTTATCTTTCCTGCAATATGGGGAAGCAATATTCCCGGATGTCTTGAGTCAAATCGTTGCTCCAGGCCACGGCGCGCCTTCTCCACTGCGCGGTCAAAGCAACTGAGTCGGGCCGAGCCGGGCAAACCCACAACACATGGCCCCAGAGTTTCTGGTGTTTTTTGAAGGGGGGTAATCCACCAGAATCCATGAGAAAAACCTGAAAAATTGATTTAAAAAAAGGTGAACTGCCCGGGAAGACAGCTTTTGAGTTGAAGGCATCCTCATTTTGAATCAAAAGCACTGTTTTTCTAGGCAAGAAGGGTGTTGTGCAAAAAGATCAAAAAGCAACTCAGAGGTCCCTTATGGTCCGCTGAGATATCAAACGAATAGTGGACCATCATCGTTGCTTGCACCACGGCCAGATGGCTGTGTGCCCCACTCAGTGCTGGAAACCGCATGCAGTGCCATGGCCTCGGGAAGTGGAAATCGTTTTGATGTCGGCTCAGGCTGAGAGGAGAACTGAGGGGTGGACCAAGCCATCCATGCAATAGCCTGGGCATGACAATGCCCCATGTCGTGACACAGGGATCCTAACTTCTCCAGAAAATTCCACAGATGTCCAGAGTCATGGATATAACGGCTATCACATAACGGAGGAAAAGTGTCCGGAAATTACAATGCTCTGCATCTGTGATCATCTGTGAATAGAGTGTGCAGAGCTTGGGGCCTAATGCTACATTGACACGTGAAGGAGGTGATTCAGCCAGGTACAATATGTTCTGCCATGAAATGCCATGAATCCCGTTCATCCAAATGCATATTTGGCGAAGGAACTGCCAGCATAGCACCGTGACACTGGATGCCCATTGTACTTCTCTCCGCGGGCCCTCACAGCAAGGATGAGTTTGCAACACAAGAGTTGTTGAGAGTATCCAACTCGCCTGGTGCTTTCCTTACCAAAATCAACTTACGCCGTCTCAACAGCACCTCTACACAATTTCAATTGTATCTATCCGAACAGAAGAAACAAACAGTTTTATCCAGTTTTGTTAGTGGAGCTACCCTCCTATGCTATCAAACATGGCTAGCTGGCAAATCTCCGAACCAAAATTCAATGGACGTCTATGAACCTATATGTCCGAAAATCATCGAACTTCATGTCTATGAATGGGCGTTTCATGGTGAATTACCAGAGGGTATGTGGTGTAGCGCCGCCCCACCTGAAAGTTTCCAAGAGCTCAAGGCTAGGCAGTTGCCAATTCCAACATCTCTCCAGCGCACCCTCCTTCCAGAACATTGGAATCTATTGTGCGGGCAAAGGCTCACCAAATGGTTGGAACTCAAGATCTCCAAGTGAAATTAAATGTGGTCAATGTTCAATGTATACCGTTCCTGATGAATTGCAGCTTGTCTCACGGAGAACCCAGCAAAAATGAAAGTCCTTATTGGGATCGTCATACCAGGATGGAAATCATCAATGAAATTTGGTTGCCAGGTTGTCTCTCCATGAAACACGATCTTCCAGCCTAGCGCTCCTTGCTGCTGGTGGCTAGCGCACGAACCTCTGCAATTGCTGCTGTAGTGTCTGGATCGGTGCTCCCAAGGGAATCCAAACGAGCAGCATAGGCTGAGCTTGTCCTTGGTGAAGGTGGGCTTCCTCCCAGTTCTTCGAAATGGACAAGCTGTCTTAAGTCTTAAGTTTCGAGCCATAATTGATTGAAGAGCACTGTCAGCCACTTCAGCATAGGAGAGCCAAGATTCTGAATCAGGAAGTCTCTGGCAGTCCGCTCGTCCTGACATTTTACCGTGTTCTGCACTTTTCCTAGGGGATCGGATTTGCCAGACAAGTGATGTTTCAAATGTCAAAAGTCTCTACACTTCCGAGTGCATGTGAGTCCACTATTTCGAAACGGTGCAGCAAAAATCCAATCCTCTCAAATCCTTTCCTCCTTTGGCCGATTGATCGCCGTGTGTAGCAAAAAGGCCAGGTACTTGGCAGTTTCAGTGGCCAAAGCACCTTCGGCCCGGATAGCGAAACCCAACATTGAACTGCTTAACTGCCTTACTGCCCCCTGGCACCTGGATGTGTAGTAAGGCTGGATCTCGCAGCTGCATCCAAAGCCATCTCTAGGTCGTAGTGATAGAAGATTGCCACCTCAATAGAAATGATGTTTCTGTTAGGCCTGCTGCATGTTTGTGATGATCTCGCTAAAGGCAGCGGCATTGCTGCAATGAGTACAACGATGCATACTGGATCCAAAAAAGTACTTGTCAAGTAATGCGTAATGTTTGGGAATCATAAAAACCTGACCTGCAATTCAGCCTGAGCAAAGAGCATGTTTCCACTCCATGGTTTTCGCTTTGGTGTTCATCTTTTTGGATTTCTTATGATTTCTTCCTTTCCCTGTCAAAACACTCGAAGTAACTCTGGCGAGGTTTCCGGGGGAAGGGTGGAAGGTGGAAGCCCCCGATGTCAAGTTACAGGTGCTAAACGCATCAGACCGCCATTGCCAGAATCACCTGCATGTCTGAGGTGGAGACATTAATATCATTAATGCATATTCACGCAGTAAACAGCAACAAGATCAATCAGGCAACATCATTGCAATAGTTGCAATACTTAATTTGCAATCTTCATTTCTTCCATCGGCCTGTGAAAATCTGGAAACAATATAAATAATGCAACCGTGCTGCTGCTGCCAGGATTGATGTATTCTGGTGCGATGATTTCCGAAGGCCTCAATACCATTAAAGACTTTGCCTTGGCGGTGCACAGGCTAACTTTCGAGTAGAAAAATGTTGGAATATGAGAAAGCGGCCGCAGCACCTCTTGTAAATCGGACCGTCCAAAATTTGCATGGTCTTCCGGAATCATTCAATATCCTAATTGGCGCATTGGGAATCATTCAATATCCTAATTGGCGCATTGGGGGCGAAACTATATAAGTCAAAATCACGTGGTCTTCCACCCTAGTCCCTTTAATAAATGCCTGTAGCCAGCTCAGAACCCCCTTAGCTCTTAAGCCTGGAAGAGACGAATGAACTTTCCAGTCCAGCCCACTCATTTTGGATACCATCTTCAGTGCACGAATGTGCGTCAGCAACCGCCAAGAACCGAATACAGTTGTAAAGAGACCCAGGGTTTCCCTTGCGGAAATCCTATTTGAGCCACACCTGCTTCGTGATTCCTGCATATTTTCTGGTATGGACTTTTGGCACATGGCAGCACCATTGAAACATGTCAAACGTCAAGGCCGCCAAGGCCGCCAAGGCCGCCAAGGCCGCCAAGGAACTGTGTTGAAACCCAAGCCAAAACTTCGACGATCGCTTCGATCTTTGTCCAAGCGGAAGGGGTTGTTCATGCCCTGCGGCTGATAAGAGGCTGAACTGTCCCGTGGTCATCACCTTCCACTGCGGGCCACTGGGACCACAGCGGGCACTGCGGGCCATTGGGGCCCCGGGCCTCGCCGATCCAGCACCAAAATCCTCACAAGCCGAGACTGCCATGTCGAGGAAAAAGTAAATACGTATATTTCTATAAATATATACATTCATACATGTATATATATATAATAACATGTGTGTGCAAGTTGTTTTTCAAGCTTTAAAAATGATGAAACATGATTAAACTAAATTCCCTCAATTCATGCAAATAACCTTCTTGCATTTTCGTCATGCAGCCGACTTCCGCATCTGGGATCTTCAGCCCTATCGGTTGATTTACTGCTCTTTCCATCGTTCCCAACAGGTCACAAAACAACCTCAATTGGTTGCTTGGGGGCAACTCCAAGACCCTATTTACAAAACCTTGTGTATGTTTCGGATTGAGTCAACCTCAAAAGATTCAGAATAATTTGGATTCGGGGCAACATCTCTACATACACATTTTGTTTTCGCCGGTGCCACTTGTCACACCTTGCAGCCCAACGTCTCAGTCGCACATCTGATCCGTCCACTTTGCCATGAACAATCAGCGAATCAGCCAGGCATAGCGCCTTAGCATTTGCAGCCGAAAGCCAATCATCAGGTGATTTTTTTAAACTAGTTGGATCCAATTAGTATGAATAGGGATACCACGATCAACAGTAGTTCAAAGTAGCAGCCAATAAGCCTGCGCATGCCTGCGCCAACTTTGAGAATTCGAGTTTTATGTTGATTTCGAAATAGTTGAACGAGTAGTTCTGTAATGTTCTCTCACGTTCTTAGAGAATCAGGGGATCAATGCACACACGACAGAATGCGGATTATACAATTTTGCATCATTGTGCTAGCAAAGCTGACCCCTTTTTCTCCCTGAACGCCAAGGGAACGGGGTTGACCTTCCTGGGTCAATCCCATGAAATCCATGGGCTACACTGGTACATCTCATCCACTCAGTGGTGGAGCCTTGGAAGATAGAAACTTGGGGACTACGTCGCGTCAACGCTTTGTGGCATGCCAAGTGGAGTGTTGACCTAGGACCTAGCTGGGAAACGTTGACACCAAACATCCCCATTGCATGGAACTTGCGCAACCTGAGCCCCTGCTTCAACTAGCATCTTATTTGTGTGTTAAAACTGCAAGCCTTTGGCTCAGGTTGGCTCGTGCAGTTTCAAATTCGGTGCTTTGCAAGTTGGCAAGGAATCGCACCTGCTGCGCGGCGGTGAGTACCGCCGTCCCCAGGTGCAGTCCCGTGGGCTTCTTGGCGGGCGAAGTGAAGAGCGACTCCGCTGCCTTTCTCTTCACGCCACCCGGCGCCCCGCTCAGCGGGTCCGGCACTCCAGGTTCCTCGACCGGCACGCCCAGGGGGTCCACCCCCAGGATGTCCTCGCCGGTCTGACCGAGGCAAGCCACCAACGCCTCCAAGAGCGCCCGCGGTAGCTTACGCACAGGAAACCAATGTCGTCAACTTCCACATGTTTCACACTGACTTGCACTCAATTCTTGAAAACACTAGACATGACAAGTACAATCTCCTCCCATGCATGGCTTCACAAACAGTAGCCAACAAATTTAATGTACCCCTTCAAACACGGCTTGGGAAACACAGTAGCTACTGTAAGAAAATTCCAGGGCTGCCAGCGTTTGGGCAGCCGGGCAGGCCGGGCAGGTACCTTCAAGATGGTGGGAACCTCTGAGTTCTGAACCGGATCCGTTGTCAGATCCGTCTCCAGCAGCCAATCCACATCCTTAGAAGACTGGATTCGGCTGGGTATCTTCGTAAGGACCTCATTGAGGTCCTCATGCAAGCATTTCAGGATCTGTTTCCTTCTGCTCAGCAACAACTTCAACCAAAATTTGAGTGGCAATCCTGGCACATTGTCATTGTCCAGGATGATGTGGTCCCACATCCTTGCAGCTGCATCTGTGGGCAATACATTCATATGTCGATCATCCAATTTTGAATCGGGAAAAGTCAACATCGGCTTTACTCAATTTGACAGCCATCTCCTTGCATTCTCTTACCATGGAGCGCAGCTGCTCCGCCGTGCCTCGAATGGAAGGTGTGGACATGATCCCTGTAGAATCCATGGATAGCAACCGGGTTGTTAACCTACTGTACATCCGATAGATCCCAATTTGTACAGGGTTGTGACCCAAACGAGTACGAACTTGAAGCATAGTGCCAGTGAGAAAACTAAACCACCACCTCCAACAACAGTCGAGGGACAACAATTCCTCCACTTTTTGGCGGCGTCCGTCAAGTGAAGCTTCATCGTAAGACCCCGATGCTTTTCCAGAAGTTTTACGACGTAAGACTTCTGGAAGAGCATCGGGCCGGACGTCCTGCGGGACCGCGGCCCAAAGACATACCTTCTGTGACGAATTTTCTTGGTCCGGGGCTTTCCTTCGTCAATGGTCGATAAAGTATGATTTAAAAATATTCTGGACGAATCAAAGCCAATCCAAAACCTGCACACTCTAAGCTTCAGAGGAAACTAAATCTCCAGAGGACTTGGTTCTGAGCAGGCACATCCACTTTTTGGCACACCCGTAAAATAGAAATGGGATCGACCAACAAAATGTATACTGATAGGCCTGTTTTTGAACTCCAACCGTTCCATTCCTGAGGTTGCCTGTCTCCATTTCTTCAGCTTCCGCTCCCATCTTTGCCACCAATCCAGATATGAGCAGGGAACATGTAAACACACTGGGGTTAAAAGGAGGTCCCAATATGTCCCAATTCTGCCAATCGGCTCTCAGTTGCCCGTTGCCCCCTACTACTTGTGGGTATAGTTCGTTCACCCCAGCGAAAAAAACATTGTATAGATTCGTCCATGAGTAAGATACTTCGAGCATGTATCTCTTGTCTCCGTTGTATGTTACCCCCTACTCTGAACCCAATGATGCTTTACCATGTTTTATCATGTTTTGCCATATTTTACATGCGTTACATGTTTTGTTGGTGAAAACCCCATCCAAGCATCTGATCGGTAGGGGGCCGTGAATGGGTTTGTCCAAGGTCGTCGTGCTGCCTTGACATGTCCAGCTGAATCTGCTTGACGATCTCGGCGCTTGTCTCTTCGAAGCACGGCCTGGTGGACTCAACCCACCCCCTGCTTCCTGAAGTGTGATCAACTTGAAAATGCGTAAGCATCATGTGAAACTGTGAAACCGTTCTGGGGGCCTTTTGAGCCTGGGCCATACGACTGTAAATACATTTGAGAAACCCAAACAAGTCCGGCCAAGTCGCTGAATGCATCTCAACATCTGAGTCACACTGATTCTTGGATCCATTGCAATCCAAGGCAGATAAATCCAACGGTTGCAAGCCATCTTAGTGCTTTCTGCGCCATGTTGAACACACATCCCTGTCTTGACATGACCCAAATCCAACAGTTCTGCCTCTCGCAAGGAACTGCGGGCGTTGTTTCCACCCACAAGCGGCGGCGCTCCATCGTGCCGCATGACTCGCGAAAGCTAAAGCACTTCAGCTGCGAGCTGCGGGGACGCCATGAATATCATGAAATAACTATAATTAGTATAGATACCCTCCATCCAACCATATCTTACCATGACACTCTGAAAGACTTATTGAGTCCTACCCCGCTACGTCGCCAAGCTGCCATGGATGTATCATCTGTCCACTGTCCAGGTTGTAGAATGCCTCGCTCAATCTCCTGGGCAATGACACGAGTGCGCCAGATTGAAAATAAAGGATAAAGATCTCACCCACTAGAGCCCTGGGGCTTTAGGGCAGCTAGCGATAATGTTCCATTGCGTTCCTTCATGTTCCTCCAACACCACACTGGACTTCACTGCAAATGAATGAGTTGTCCGCTTCCAAGAGTCGTTTCTGTTGGGATTCTGCCAGGTGAAGGATTCATGATCCCACCTGCTCTCGCCAGGTTCATCTCTCACCTTGCAGAAAAAGTCGAATGGGAGCGGTTGGAACTGTGGCATAAAGCTACAGACCCATACTTGGATTGTGTGTCATTTCCATTGTGGTGTTGTCGGCCTGTAGTTCTTTGCAATCAATGCTCTTTTTTGCGTGGCTACAAGTTGCTGCAAAATCCGCGGTGAGTATGTCGAATTATGTTGAAGTAACACTGCCTACAATGACATCAGTTCACAAACGTTGTGACTAGAATTCGAAAAACCAAATACCATACCTCCCCAACCCCACTCAACAGAATAACTCAGGCAAAGATAAGCATGCAAGGCTCAGAGTCTCGACCTCAAACAAACCTCATCCCCATCAATTGTGGTTCACTTCCCAAGAGATCTACAAGGCCTCCAGGAACTCCAGTGCAGCTCCAACCCAGTCAGCAACTGCTAGGCCCGTCAGCGATGCGACGGCACGGCTGAAGGGGATATCTGACTCAGTGCTGCGCAGCTGGCGGTGCATCCCCAAGCGGAGGCTTGTGATATTGGGATTCATTGGGGTGACCACAGTGCACATCGGCCGCAAAAACTGTTCAAAATGGAAACGGGAGCGGTTGAGGTACCACAAGTCCGATAGAGGACCTACACACCGGCGAAACATAAAACGGCCACTATCTCGTTGGCCCTCCAAAACAAATTGAAGATTCAATCCAAATAGCATTAAATAGCCACTTGCTGTTGATATTCTCTCTCTGGCTGTGTGAGGCAAAGGTTGAATCTTAATGGGTTGACAATATACCAGTTTGTTCACAGGAAATCCCGCTGTTCTTAACATCCACTATGGGAAATTCCTGTCATGTGCCTCTAAATCGGCTAAAACATCCTGAGCGTGATATTAGACTTAGTCACTGAGGCAGTTTGGATGGCACGTGTTTTCAGATGCCACATGCCACCAAGGCACTTTCGCCCAGTTCAAAGTTTCATTAATCAATTCATCCTGCAGTGCTAAGGCTTCAGAGGCACATCTTGTCATGATATCTCACTACCTACACCGTGGCCACCGTGGCCACCTCACAGTCAAGCTGGAATCAAAAGCTTAGCAGCTCAGCCGCCAAATGCAGCTCATCTGCAGTCAAGTCTCAGGGACCTTGACAGAGCACATGGGTCACATTGGTCACTTCAGAGAATTGGACATGGCCCATTCCGACTTGATGCCCAGATTCTACGCAATCGACAACTGGGTAAACATCATGAATACATCATGAACTATGTCTTGTTTGGCAGCACATATCTGAAGCTGCCTGGCAGAGTAGGGCGGCCATTTGACAACTTTAAGGGTCTCTGTGTTTCTCAAACACCCTTGTTCGTTCCATGGCAACATCCAAGGCCATCTTCCCCGTTGGTCAAGGTACATCCTGCAACAGCGAAAAGTCGACCAAGTTCACATCTCGGTCTCCTGGTCTGGCCACTGTGGGAAAATGGGAAAAGTGTTTTACCATCGATAAAACGGGGTTGTGTCATACTTTCCCAATCTTTTTCCTACCTTTTCCATCCTTTTCCCATCTTTTTCCCATCCTGTCCTTTGTGAATCAGCTGCCTATTGACATTCAAGTCCGGCTGCTGAAGGTTTTGTGTCAGCTTCGCCAGAAGCTCCGACGCAACTGCTCCATCCATGGCACTCTTGATGTGGTTCCGTTACTCAGTGCTTCCAACCTGTTGCTTTATGAGCTGAACCGAAATTCATCTGCGCTTTGGGTAAAATGATGTAAAATGTACTCTTCCACCGGTATTGATGTGCAACAGAAAGCGATGTGTACCAAAATACAACATTTTCTGTTGGATGATCCTGCTCATGATCTTTCATTGGTTTTCCTCCAAAACCACAACATTCAAAACAGTCCGCTGACGCAGGCAGGTGCAAAGCTGAAACCCACGGCATTCGACTTGGATCACTGCTTTGTTTAGGAACAACTCGCAAAGTCATCACAGAAAACCATCCGAAGCACTGAACTGGGATCAAACACTGAGTTATCCAGGACAGTCAAGGATGGCAAGGTTGATTGATGAAAACTTGACGAAACAACGACAACACAAATGAAATATGAGAAAATCCCACAGAAAAGAATTCTGCCTCCATTTTGCGGCACTCTTTTAGGCCGAATGCTTACTGGTTAGCACAGCTTGAGTGCCTCAAAATGATGCCCTTGAGTTGCACGGGTGGAGAAATACGATCACTTCCAAGCTGGCCAATTTTTGAGGCATCACCAAGCGTCTATGTACACCATCGGTCACCATCGAATCTAGAAAGCAATGAAAGCTAGGCAGATCTAGGCAGAAGGGGTTGTGCTGGCTGTCACAATTTGGCCGTCTCGATCACAAACAATCGCCTCAACTGGTGCTGTTCTGATGTCTTCGAACGAGGCGTTTCGTGAGGTACAAAGGTCAGGCATTCCTTGAGTGGTGCCTTGACAAGATGATATTATATATTAATCTAGATTAAGATGATATTATGATGACCTGGATGCCCAATGATATTAGCATCTGGACTTCTGGATTAAGATGATATTATGACAAGTCACTTCTGCAGCTGGGGCTCCACACCCTGCTGCAAAGGACGGCTGCCCAAACGCTGCAAACAGCACCCAGCCACGGGCCAAGACCATTCGGCAGCACATGTCCTGATGAAATGCTGATGTTTTCACATTGTGGAAAATGTATGAAAATGTGTGAACTATGTTCTCCTCGTGTCTCCAGGCGAACCTTAAAGCTTAAAGCTTCATCATATCCATCTTGGGGACTGAACATCAGCTTGGTGGTCATTGGTGGTCTCAACACGTGTCAACTCCCAATCTTGGCCACAACACCCTGAACTGCTAAGTTGTTGCGCATGTTGTGCCGCTCTAACCATGGCCACGGTCTTGCCATGGAGGCCCATGCTGAGCCAAGTTAAAATAGATCCAAATATATCCCGACAGTGCTAAAGATGTGGAAGGCCACCATGACTGTCACTTCCCCACACCCTGAATTTGCGGCTGACCTGCGGCTTGCCAAAGAACACAGCTGCCTTGCTGGGTTGCCAACGTCAGTGCCAAGGCAAGGCTGACTGGCCGCCCCCTCGCTCGCGCTCGCCGCGCCGTAACCTAGCCGCTGTCTAGCCCCAGAAGGCTCAGTCTGTCCCCATACCAGAAGTGGGTACAGGAAAGAATTCACAAAAAATGACATGTGATTGCCTGGGTCAATGATGGTTACCAGGCCTGTACCCACCTTTTCTTTGAGTTTAACTAGGCATCCATGGTTCGTTGGTCAGCCGTTCATGTACCCTGTCCACCAGCTTTGCCAATGCCTCATAGTCATACGATGTCATACGAGCAAACTGCAACAAACATCAACAAATCCATCAAGGCAAAAACTTGAAATAGTGGACGCCAAAGCTATCCTACTTTTAAATACCCCTACTTGTGTGTGTGTGTACCAAAACTCCTTCTGCTTGGCAGGTTACACCCACATCGCCGATTTCGGCCTGGTGCCCCAACTGCCCCATTCCCACGGTGCTTCAAGCAGCAACACAGGGTAATGCAAAGAATAGCACGGGCAACAAGCCAGTGGCTGTAGCAGCCCACCAATCTACGCCAAAGCCTTGCACAACGCATGAGAATCATGAGACCACTGCACTGTAACTCTCTGTGATCTGCTGGTTTGTACACTGCTGCGTCTGCAGCACGCCGCAAGTATTCAGAAGATTCTTCGAAAAGGTCTTGTGAGCTCGTCACTTTAATTGCTGGAACATGCAAAGGTAGTAGCCAGTCAAGCAATCATGCCGCACCTGTGGTGACAGGAGATACCAGCAGCAGAGCAGATGTAGTCAGTGCAGCAACCTTACAGCAGGAATTGATCTTCGAAAATAAGTAGAAACGATGTGATGTTCCTGGCAATTTTTGCTGTGCAAGTCTACTATAGGTCTCACATGGTCTCACTGTACAGTATCATGTTGTGGTGCGTATCTTGCATGTGTCATATTATGTCCAAACCGATTTAGTCTACCCTCTTGTAATCAAACCTGGCCATCGGAAATCCCTCTTCACTCGAAAAATGTTCATGGGAAAATCATCTACAAATAGTGGATTATCATGGATTATCGCCAAGTTTGATGTCGTTTGATTACCAGGGCTGCTCATCCACCCATGGCGCTCTGAGCATCCCACCATCCACGTGCCGAAGGCTCCAAAAGCGCGCACCAGACGAGGAGCCAGGCCGCACCCCAGGATGCCAAAGAGAAAGCGCAGAGCAGCACCGGGGATGTTGGATGTCTGGCCTCACAAAGTGAACCTTTAAGGAACACCCCCACTTTTTTGGGGTTTATGTTTTCTTATCACTGGCAAATTCATGGTTTCCCCTCTCAAGATATGTCAAAACGATGAACACTTGGAATGAATTGGTGGTAAATCAATTTTTTTTGAGACATACTCACAATATGTATCAATCAAAAATGGGGGATCAATGCACCCACAAATGATTGGCCACTCTACCACACGTAGCCGTCCCCAAGACTTGGGTCAATAAAGCTGGTTGGTTCGTGGATCTCTTGTCATAGGCATAAACCCCATGGGAATAATGGCTTGCCATTATTCATATTCTACAATAAATTACCTACGGTGGTTGCCCACTGATGAAATGGCCTCAAATCAATTCTGCCAGTCTAAAACAGTTTCAAACCTTCTGTCGCAGAAGCAATGCCCAACACAATAGCTAGAGCACCCGCCTCTAGGTGCCATGAAAACTCGCGCTTGTTCTTTGGCGCAAAGCATCGCGACACCGGAAAGTAAGGTGCTAAGCAATGCCTTATCTGCCACAAGTTCCCACAGAGGGAACTGAGTCAAACACAGTTCTTCAAATGATGTGTTTGTCCAAAAAGGTGTGGTGCCTTCTAAAATCCGATGGTTATCGGTTTATTTTCATTGACATTGCCAGGGAAATTTGGGGTAAACCACCTATTTCTCGACCCAAATGGTCACCAACTCCCTTGATGTTGTGGTTCAGCATCTCAGCAGTTGAGAACAGCTGGTGCAGCAAAGGCACAACCTGGGTTCCTGGGTCCTGCAAGGAGCAAATCCTACACATTTCAGTTTGAAGTTGCCAAGTATGGGTACACTTGAACAAAAAATGTGGCAAAAATGTTTCGAGTCTGAGACCCCACAAGCAGTGTCTATGGAAATGTCACCACATCTACAGCACTAAACCATCGAAGAATCGTTGCTGTCCTGCACAAGCTCCGCCAGTTGGCTTTCCGTATCCTTACGGCCCGGGTTTGTCTGACTGGGAGCATAGGGTATAGTTTTGCAAATGCGATTTGAAAAGAAATTGTCATATTTTTCCCCAATTCTATCATCGAAGGTATGGACTTCGAACTGCGCACCACATATTGAATGGTCCCAAAATCACGGATTCACCTAAACATGGTCATTTCTATCGAACAAATGATGATAAACTATGTTTGTTTTTAAACCCTATTGCATTTGTCCCTGTCTTTCTGCATCACTCCCGAATCCCAACCATTTGCAGCAGTCAATGTTTCCCTGGCATTTACACTTCTCAACACTTGCACGGCACTGCCTGCCACCCTTGAGCCCCTGACAACCACGATTTCCTCCTCTTCCAACTCCTGGATAACGACGCAGGTCACAAAGAAATTGGTTGGTGAACATCAGATGGCCCGTGCTCATGTGCATCCCTCCCACTTCGATGGTCTCATTGGTATTGACTCATCACACGGACTTAACGTGCTGAATTGGTAAGTAAAAATAACCCTGACTACTGGGATAAAAATACCCCTGACCCATTGTAAAAACTATTGCGGCCAATCATACTGGTATTCATATATCCCGAAAACATCACAAGACTTAATATGAATGGGGTGAGCCCCACGGCAAGCAGGAATTTGCGAGAAAATGCACTGTTTCCGCAGCAACGACTAGTACTACTACTACTACTACAACAACAACAAAAGACCAACAAAAAAACAAAAACAGCAACGTTTAAAACAAAAAACTAACAACAACAGAAACAACAGCAAGCAACGACAAGCCAAACCAACCAAAACACTAAGCAAAACCAGGCCGCGAAAACTAGGCTCTTGTGGTCCAGGGTGGGCTCCACGACAGCAGGGGTGTCGGGGGATGCCAAGTGGACTGCTCACTCGCTGACTCACTCACCATCTATGTAACAGAGAAGCAAGCAAAGAAGCAAACAAACAAACAAACAAACAAACAACCAACCAACCAAACAAACAAACAAACAAAACAAACAAAACAAACAAACAAACAAACAAACACAAACACGCAACACACACACAACACACATACACACATACACACAACACGCACAAGACACACACAAGACACACACAAGACACTCACAAGACACACACACACACACACAACATACAACATACACACAACACAGACACAACACAAACACAACACACACACAGACACACACACAAGCAAACAAACAAACAAACAAACAAACAGACAAGCAAGCAAACAAGCAAAACGAGCAAACGAGCAAACGAGAAAGCATACAAATCAAAACAAAACAAAATCAGAAATGGAGAGCAACAACAGGAAGAAAGGAGCAGCCAGAAAAGAGCAGCAAGAAAGGATGAGGACAAAAGAAGGATGAACAAAAGGAAGGGCATATCATTAATGACGTGGGAGCAATTTTGCGAGTGGAGTGGAGCAATCAAAAAAAAGCCAGCCCCAGGCTCCAGGAAGAATATCTCACTGAATGTGCATACTAGACCCAAAACCCCAAACAGATAAGGTTGAGGAGTGAAAGTGGTCGCGTCGTTGTTGAGTGTTTTTCTCTTTTCTGTTCCATATCACTCTACCGCCAACAAGAAATATCAACTATGATCAACAGTAATGAACACTATGCAGCAAAAAAACTCCAACTGATCAACTCTAACAGTTGATAAGTTGGAGATGAACTGACAATCCCCAACTATCAGCAAGTAAAACTATGATCAATCGCCAACTTCTGTTGTTGCCTCAGCTGGATCTGCCTCCTTGGACTTCTCCCCAGAGCTGCGACTTTTGCCGCCCTGCGATGGGGAGCTTCGCGAGCTTCGCCAGCGGCGCTTCTTGCTGTTCAGGCGCCTGAGAATGGCCCCGAAACAATGGCGGAGGGTGAGGAAATGGTGGACATATGGTGAATTTATGGTCGATGTCTGGGAGATTTATGGTGTACTTACCGGGGCCGGGATCACTTGGACATTGGCTTTTGGATCACTTGAACATTGGGGATCACTTGGAGCTTTTTAGGTTCACTTGGACATGGGTTCCTGGATCACTTGAACATTGGACACTTGGACACCCCTCACACCTGGGTCTGACACTTAGGGGACAGTGGGGCGGGGATATTGGGACATGGGGGCATGGAGGCCCCAGCACAGGAACCACATTTCATCAACCATTCTCACACCTTTAGTGTTTGACACTTAGGGGACATGGGGGGCGGACATTGGGGCATGGGGACATGGGGGCATGGGGGGAAGGGGGGTTTGGGCACATGAACCACATGTCATCCACAAAGCTCCAACCTTCAGGGTTTGACACTAAGGGGACATGGGGACATTGGGGCATGGGGACATGGGGACATGGGACGACGCAGACAGGGAAGTCGACACGGTAATACAACGACAACAAGTTGCGTGGACCCTGTCTTAAACTCCTCAAGAACGTTATCAGCCCCCCCACCCCACCCTGTTGAGCATCCGTGGACCCTGTCTCAAAGTCGTCACGAACGTTATGAGCTCCCCCTCTGTTGAGCATAAGCGAGCATGTGCAACATGTCAAGAACGGCAGATCCACGTTCAAGCGATCCAAAATCCCACGCACAAGCGAGCCAAGCGCCCATGTTCACGCGAACCCCCGCCTTGGAGTATTTACCCCTTAGTCTTGACTAGTTCCAAAAAAATGCAAAAATGGGGCAACAGCCAATGTTCCAACCAAACACTGATTTGGATGAACCTGGTTGCTTTTGATTTCAAGCTCCTTACTTTCGAACGGGGGCACGGCCTGAAGGGGCAACCAACAGCTATTTCGTGAACCATGAAACATGAAAAACGCAACTTCCCAGCCAAGCAACAAGGCCAACACAAGGCCCAGGAGTTGGAAAGGAACACCCAGAAGCCCACCTCGGAATCTGGAAAGTCTGAACAGGTGTAGATCTGGCTTTGGTGCCACTTCCAACGGGACAAATATATATGATTCAGCATCAATTTTTGAGTTTTTCCCAATTTGTTCAGACAAATCCATCTACTTCTGTTACATCTGTGTCCTCCGCAAAAAAATCCATGCACAGATCAGATCATAGTACCGAAGCAGTGGATATACTACCCTCTCACTTGTCTGCATGCAAAGCCTTCTGCGTGCAAAGCCTTCTGCTGCAACCGGTGTGGGAAGTTGTTGGTTGACGTCCTACAAACCAACATCTACCAGGAATTTCAATCAGATGTTTCAGCGGCCAGGGCAGGGTACACTCCAGTGACTCCAGTGGCTTCAAGGTACCAGATAGATACGTGGATAGGTGGATGGATGGATACATGGATATGCGGATAAATGGACACATGGACAATTAAATGAATCGAGACATGGATAAATGTATAAATGGATGAACGGATGAATGGATAAATGGATGAATCGATAAATGGATAAATGGATAGATGCATCGACGGGTCATCGGTGGATAGATGGAATGGATAGGATAGATAGGATAGATGGGATAGATAGGATAGATACGATAAGGTGTTGAAAAAAAAAAAAACATAAACTAAAATACAACAAGATAACAATGATAGATAGATATGATAGATAGGACAGATAGGACAGATAGGACAGATAGGACAGATAGGACAGATAGGACAGATAGGACAGATAGGACAGATAGGACAGATAGGACAGATAGGACAGATAGGACAGATAGGACAGATAAGATACATAGGATAGATACGATAGATACGATAGATACGATAGATACGATAGATACGATAGATACGATGGATACGATGGATACGATAGATACGATAGATACGATAGATACGATAGATACGATAGATACGATAGATACGATAGATACGATAGACAAGATAGACAAGATAGACAAGATAGACAAGATAGACAAGATAGACATGATAGACAAGATAGACATGATAGACATGATAGACATGATAAACATGATAGACATGATAGACAAGAGAGACAAATTTATAAGATAGATAAGATAAATAAGATAGATAAGATAGATAAGATAGATAAGATAGATAAGATAGATAAGATAAATAAGATAGATAAGATAGATAAGATAGATTGGATAGACAGGATAGACAAGATAGACACGATAGACACGATAGACAAGATAGACAAGATAGACAAGATAGACAAGATAGACAAGATAGAGAAGATAGACAAGATAGACAAGATAGACAAGATAGACAAGATAGACATGATAGACATGATAGACATGATAGGCATGATAGACATGATAGACATTATAGACATGATAGACAAGAGAGACAAGATAGATAAGATAGATAAGATAGATAAGATAGATAAGATAGATAAGATAGATAGATAGATAAGATAGATAAGATAGATAAGATAGATAAGATAGATAAGATAGATAAGATAGATAAGATAGATAAGATAGATAAGATAGATAAGATAGATAAAGATAAGATAGATAAGATAGATAAGATAGATAAGATAGATAAGATAGATAAGATAGATAAGATAGATAAGATAGATAAGATAGATAAGATAGATAAGATAGATAAGATAGATAAGATAGATACGATAGATAAGATAGATAAGATAGATAAGATAGATAAGATAGATAAGATAGATAAGATAGATAAGATAGATATAGATAGATAAGATAGATAGATATAAGATAGATAAGATAGATAAGATAGATAAGATAGATAAGATAGATAAGATAGATAAGATAGATAAGATAGATAAGATAGATAAGATAGATAGATAGATAGATAAGATAGATAAGATAGATAGATAGATAGATAGATAGATAGATAGATAGATAGATAGATAGGTAGGTAGATAGATAGGTAGGTAGATAGATAGATAGATAGACAGACAGACAGATAGATAGATAGATGGCTGGATAGATAGATAGATAGATAGGTAGGTAGGTAGATAGATAGATAGATAGATAAATTAGATAGATTAGCCAGATTAGATAGATTAGACAGCTTGGACAAATTAGATAATGATTAGATAGACTAGATAGACTAGATAGGAAAGCTAGATGCGATGGTAAGACAGATAAGATAGATAAGAAAGATAAGAAAGATAATGTAGAACAGGTAACATAGATGGGATAGATAAAATAGATAGAATAGAAAGGAAGGATAAACAACAGATAGACAGATACTACATAGATATGTAGATGTAAAAATAGATAGATCGACATAGAGACGAAATCTGTATATAATATACATACACATGTACATATGTATGTATATGTAGAGCTATACGTATACATTAATGTACGTGTATGTTGAGCCTCTATGTGCCGCTGCCAAGCTGCAAATCTGCATTCCTCAGCACTCACAGCTGTTGCCGAACATTCATACGAGATATTCTGCATCCTGGAAAGCACCACCATTGGCGTTTTGTATGATTTGTGAATTGTTTCCCATTCAAACTCGCCATCTTTGATAAATAAGACCTAAAAACAGATCCAAGTGCCCTATGTTTTGTTACCTTTCGTTTGCACAAGCCAAGGGTCTCATGCACGTACTACCAGCCACACATTTGTCGCTGGTGAAGCCACTGAAGTAACCATTCTGACCTCAATGGTTTGGCATTGGCAGATCTCCCGTTTTGGGATACTCAGGACTTTCGAGGCCACAATCATTTCCTGATGTTATTTCTACTCAACAAAACTGGGGGAAAACAAAAAAGCGGCCATCTCACATCTCAAATTTGAGAAACATCAAAATTCAAACCTTTTTCCCCAACCTCTTGGGATTTACAGCCAGGGCGCCCCAGGGTGCAGCTGCCATGGCTAATCCCAAGGACTCGCCCCAAAGGGCCACCACAAAGGCGACCTTGGGAGGAGTGGTTCAGAAGTATGTTGCATTGTATATTAAATATATAATGTATTATTATGTATATTATATAATATGTATGTATATATATATAATTATATATATAATTATATATATATATAATTATATATATATTATAATGTAAGATATAAGATATATGATATATATATATATACGATATATGATATATATATATATATACGATATATGATATATATACATATAATATGTTACATATATCATATATGTATATATTATAACCAGAGAGAGAGAGAGAGAGAGAGAGAGTGAGAGAGAGAGAGGTGCTGTATACAAATCCCTACAGAATATCACCTCTTTATACGGTCCATGTAATATTTAGGCACTGGACAAACTATCTCAGTACTGTATATACATACAAGATCATCCGAGGCATGACAATCCTTGTGAGAGAATCCAAAAAGTCGAAAAGTCCAGGTCGTGGGCTGCTCAATACCTGCCGATAATGATCGGCAACCTATTTTGCATCTTGACTCTGCCACCCCGATGATAGCTTTTGTAAGTTCAATATCACGAACTTTGGACAGCTGATCCCCCAACTCTTGTTGATCATCTACCCCTATCTTTCTGGAATCCCCGTCTTCAATGAATATTATCCCAGCTGTGATGAATAAGTACGAAGATCATTCGTCCCAAACTTTGGGATTCATCAACTCATAATCCCAGGCTTTCTCTGAAAAATAGGGTATCCAAAAATTCCATGTTTTACCATCATCTGCCCATTCAAACTGCAATTTTGGGGTACCCGTATTTTCGGACAAGATCATGTTATCGTATTGTGGCTTATATATATATATATTTATTTATTTATTTACTTATTTATTTATTTGTATGGTTGTATTTCCCATGTAATATCCCGTTGCAGTATATTCCCATCATTCTTGTTCGTCTTGTACCCCTTGTACCTTTTCGTATCCAATGTCATCCCTGTTATTACTGTTGGTCAGTTCCCATCTCATATCCCCCAAGGAAATCCCCATATTTCCCTATTACTTGGGGGTGCAGTTCCAGTTGTAAGTTATAAGTGGATGTATAGTTTGTACAGTTTAAAAGATTACATCCCAACTTATGAAGGTTATAATCCCATAGTTATACTCATAACCCCAACCGCATCCCCGATGTAGATCATATTCTATGGAAAATCCCCCTTAAATCTCACTAAAACCCAAATAGATCCCAATCAATCCCGATATGTCCCGTTAAATCACATTATATAAATCCCATTGTACAAATCCAATTATATAAATCCTATTATACAAAGCCCATTATGTAAATCCCATTGTATAAATTCCATTAAATCCCCATATCCATTGTAGTATCCCCATACTGTGCTGCTCCGCAACAGGCCGTGCCCTCCGTCTCTGGGCCCTCCCTGCACCAAAGGCTTCTGTTAAGCGGACGCTATGCGCCTTCACCACCTTAAAAAGTGGCTGGTCAGCCATAACTGGAGGTCTTTATCAAGCATAATGGGAATCTAATGGGTTTATAATATGGGAATAGGATCCAAGAAATCATCTATTAATGGGGATATACAATGGTGGGAATTATAGTAGGATAACAGGAATAGATATGAATAGGTGGTGGATAAAGCACGTAAACCAGGTGGTTTTTACATTATAAAGCCCTTAGAATTATGCGGGAAAGGTTTAACCATCCGGATATTATTATAAATAAAAGGGAGTAAAAGGGTCAACATCAGTGGTTTCGCGCGTAAAATGTGAATCTAATAGGGATATCAAGGGAATATGATGAGGACATAGAGGTACTATAACCAACCGTATTGCGATATGAGTGTGTCTGTGATTGGGATATACGTCCTTGGAATTTGGGGGTGCTCCCTTTTCAGACAGACCCAGTTGTCTTGTACACGCATAGTAAAATGATCACCAATAAAGACATACAGAGCATGGGAAGACAAGGGAGCATCAGGTTTCACCCATCATGGGTTTCAGCCGCAGCATGGTGCCGCCTGGTTCTCACACGCACAGAGCAGCGCCAAGCTCACCGCTGCATCGCAAAAACCCAGCAGTAGCGAGCATACCGGCAGCACATCATCCACCTCGACACAGTGGGATGAAATGGGATGATGGCGGTTATGAATAAAATCAAAGACTAAGTTAAGGCAGCAACAGATAGGGGTTTAATGTATTGGTGTATGTATATATATATACATATATATATATACATATTGATAATGGTACTGATATTGATAATGAAAATGATATTGATAATCATATTGATATTGATAATGATATTGACATTGACAATGGTATTGATATTGATGTTCATTAGATTGTACATCAGTAAATCTGACAAATCTCTGTCCAATGTGCTACAAATCTATACAAATCTCTGATTCTGCACCTTTCAGCCATGGCCGGTCCTTGCCTTGTTGCTGGCCAAGAAGAGGCTTGGCAGGACCAAATCCACCATCAGACAAACCACGAAGGCAGCGCTGCCCAGAACTCGGAGTGCTGGGCTCAGGCGGCTCAGGATCGTCGACCCCGCCGGGATCCATGCAGAATGCAGAAATAACACGTTTTATAAACATACATTGTACATATGAAGGTTATACACAGGCATGCATATGCTGTTGATGTTGATGTTGATGTTGATGATATTGCTTCCCAACTTCCTTTGATTATCATTAATTTGCTGTGTGCATACGACAGGAGAGAAAGAACGCACGTCTATCGAGGCTATCAAGCTATCAGGACTCTCTATCTGGACACAGCTCTAATCTAGAGTGAAATGTTCGAACAGCAAAAACTCATACCTGTACAGCCTGTAAAATGAGTTTGCCATGTGCAACTTGTGCAACTTGTGCAACTTTTGCTTTCCTTGCTTCTGCAATCTGCCTTGCTAACGAACAAACGATCCGTGAACTGGTTACCAGTATCAAATGCTCAAAATAGATACCTGGTAACATGATACTGGTAATGGATAGAAAATAGTATCCATTTAGTATCCATTTAGGATAGAAACATGCCTGGCAATGGATCTAAACCTTGTATCCTTGTCTACACATCAAAATACTTGGTATGGATGTTCATCCCCCCAAGTCATATGGCTATGACCAGGATGGAACCTAAAATAGCTGGTTAATGGAGGTTGATTCCCCCAGTATGGTAAATGTAAATAATTTTAATAATTAATAGGTAACTGTTGTAACTTGATCCATCCCCATATGGAGGTTTCCATAGTCATGGGGGTACCTCTAAATCATCCATTTTGGCGGGCATTTTCCATGAAATAAACCATCCAGCTATTGGGGATCCCCCGTTGAACCCTGCTCAGCCCAGGGGCGCCGGATCGCCCGGATGAAATCCGGCGCCTGTATCTCGACATCAAAACAGCGACCGCGTGCGGTGGCATCAAACATGGGTTGGGAAATCCCAGATAAAAATGGATGTAGAAAGATAGCAATCCCCATGTAAAATGGATACAAATGGAGGTTCACAATGGTTTGATATAAACCTCAAATGAACCATTGTACTTGTTGCTATAAACTAAAGACATCCTATACATGGAGGTTTATAATGCTTTAGTTCGCTGGGATCATCATGGAAGTATTTCTGCGGGATGAACCTGCGGATGTCATGGCAAGTACCTTCTTGGGTACCTGACAACCTTGGATTCCAAAAGCCCGGCTGAAGAAGAATGATGATCTATGATATTGTGATACTATAAATCCTTGGAGACTCTATTGATAAGAATGATTATCTATGGAATTCTATGGACCTATGGATTCAAAAACCCTGGCCTGTCTATGATAGTCTATGATAATCTATGGTTTCTTGACGAAGCAGGAGGGTTTAAGCCACGCTTGACAACGCCTGACAATGAGGGTTTCCCTCTGGTAAACACAGGGTTTCCATGAAGATCCATTGCCACGGATGTCTAGTCAAGGGAATAGTATGGTGTGGTGTTGAACGTGCACAAAAAGTGGTACTATGTATCCTATATTGTCATAGATATATGGAGGTTTCCTGAAATGGGTGGTACCCCCAACTCATCCATCTTAATCGGATTTTCCACTGTAAAACCATCCAGCTATTGGGGTATCCCCCATTTATGGAAACCCGCACTTGTAGCTTACGCATCGGCACCGCTATCACCACCTTGGCTATCAGCGTGCCCAGCAGTGGAAGCACCGCAAAGGCAGCCAGTGGATGAGCAAGAAGTCCCATAGATCTCCTGGGTCCAAATGGTCCATTGTTGGATTCAAATCTACTTGAACTTTGAACATGTTGTTGATTTCCCAAACCACCAGCACTTCCACATATCTACACCTTTTTGTGTAATGATCAGCAGTAAACCCAAGGCATACAGTCACTTCGCTTCTGTGCTGTTTCTTCCGCGCTGGGTCTCCTCATGGGTTCCGGATCCTGCTGGTGCTGCTTTTCGACGATTGCAGATATCATGGCAACTGCCAACAAGCCTCCAGATTCGTAAGTCGCTCCAGGATAGACTTGGCTTGGTCGAAACACAAGTTGCCTCAATATCTCATGGTCATGATTTAATCGAAATTGCCATCAGGGGGAGCATCCTTTGGACTACCCTAGTGTTTTCGGCCACGATGTTCTTAGCACGGCCTCCAGTGGTGTGTGCCGCTGCAAGTATCCGAAAGCAAGTGTTGCCCCTGCAGGCATTGTCCTCAGCGTGAAAAAAATAACGCCACGAGAAAAAAAAATGGTTCCCCATCCACCACAACTAGCCTTGATGCCAACTTGATAAAGATATGATGTTATAGTTATAGATAGTTATAGTATGTAGTATGTATAATAATATGTATATGTTTTATAGATAGTTATAGTATGTAGTATGTATAATAATATGTATATTTTTCTGGAAGACTATGAAATCAATATGAAATCAAATTCACTTGTCACTTGCATTCACATAAATTCATCCTATCTTGAGACAGGCTAGGACGTGACGAATGCACGGATACTTCGGCAGATTGGGCTGCCGAACACAGCAGCATTCCCCGCTGGGCTCCTGGACGAAGGCGCATCTGTTTCGATGGATCTAGGGGGTGAAAAAGAACGAAAAAGATATGGGGCTTTCCAAAGTCATGGAGGTACCCCTAAGATCATCCAATATATCCAATATCATCCATTTTTCTGGGATTTTCCATGGGATTTTCCGTGAAATAAACCAACCAGCTATTGGGGATTTCCCCATTTATGGAACCCCCCCATATCGTTGGTGAAATACCCCGTGATGTCCCCGTGATATGCTCCTCCCACGACCTCCGGATTGCTGCAGGTGGAAGATGCAGTTTGGGTGCCATGGCACCACACCTGCTGCCCTGATTGGGCCTTGAGGGTACTGTTGTTTGGCTAATTGGGTCCTTCCAGAATTCCACTGGATCATGCCTTTACAATTCCTGTTGCGACTGTCGATGTCAGTAAGGAACATGATTGAATTCTTGAGTGAGAATGGAAATCGTCTTGTAGGACCAAAGACGACCTATGCATTCCTCATCTAGAGCACGGAAGGCTGCAACTTGTCTTCTGCACCAAGCTGTGTGCTGTTTCTCCAAGCCCTTGGAAGCTCTTAGAATTTTTGGCAACGGGCCTGCAACTGACGTTTCATCAGATTTTTCCAGATCACATTGAAATAATTACCTAAAGGGTACAGTAGTTCATATAACAAATGTATACCCTGCAGGAAAAAACTTCAGACAACAGACATCTGCGGGTTATTCACGGCAAGGGTTTTGGTGAGCTTGCTCGCCCTTTGCCACTTCGAAGACCACCAACCACCACAGAGGATTCTACGTGAACTCAGTCATAGCATATCCCTGACTCACTTCTTTGTGCGGCTGCTTCTGGTTGGTGTGTCTATCGCCCGGCACTCGTCTGTGCGATTGTCTCAGGTGCGGCCAAAGACGACAAAGAAACACGACCAGCTACCCCGAAAGGTCCACTGAGTAGCGAAAATTCCCAGCCCCTACAACTCGTACCCGCAGATTCGTACTAGAAAGTGAGTAGAAAACAGGAATCAAGTGTAAATCTCATATATTGCAGTAGGTGAACTTCTGCCAGTATCAAATTTTCTCCATCTTTGCTGAACGACATCATCCCCACAAAGTGTGATTTCTCACGGTGTTTCTAATTTCTAAGTGTTCATCGCTACAAATGCTACAAAGCAACAAATGTCCATCCCCTTTCACTTCACTATGACTGTCTCTATCATTGGTGCTTTACATGTTCATTCCAGACGCCCTTCCCAAGCTGATTCCCTTGCAACGAGTGCCAAGCTTCGCCGAATTGAGATCTGAATGGTCACCGCATCGCCAGCACGTCATCGAAGATGCTCACATCGATCATGGTATCGTAATATGAATCTGCATGGGCACTTATGATGGATATGTCATATGATGTTATATATGTTCTATGGATAATAGATGGATAATAGATGGATTTGTTTCCTCTGTGTCAAATTGGTTTCCACTACTTGTCCAAAGTTGCCAAATAGCCTCAGTAGGTTCTGGCTAGCATGGCCATCTGGTGATCTTCGAAGCGTCTGGGCACGCTGGAGACCGTGCGAATTTCCTAGGCAACGGTCACTCCAATGGGAGCAAGGGACAGCACCGCGAGGCTTGAAATCCATGAGTTGCGATGAGTTGCAGGGTCAGGAAGACACGTAGACTTCGCACCGGTACTGCGGGTATCCTGCTTGGGAAAACACCGGCGAAGGTTTTCAGAGCAAATAAGTCACAAGATGTCACAAGATGTCACAAGTCCACATTTCCTGGCCATGGCCACAACCCGCCAGGATCAGCCTTAAAATATGACGCCCCTCTGGGGCGCCCCAACAGGGTGCGGTATGGTGCGGAGGGCGAACTGCCAGCATCACTTACCATGCTGCGATCGCAGTGTTTTCTGGGCTTTTTAAAAGCAAAGAGCCGCAAGTCAGCTAGGCATCTTTGGTGAAGTATTGGTCCTCTGTCGGGATCAGCAAACTGACATAGGACAGGGAACAACAGGCCCAAATGTTGGTTGTGGAGAATTCCATATTTCAGCCACCCGATAAGCTTGATGTCACATTTAACGAAATCGACTTACAAACATTTACAAACAACAAAGACAGATGTTGGATGACGTTAGTGCATTACAACAAGCGTTCCATCTCTCAGTCTGTACAGGACCTGCAAACCCAGCACCACAGCCATGACTTTCACAAGGACCTTCATGGCTTTGCAGATTGGGGTGTTGGCCCCAGGTACACTCTATTTGGACCCCAACCGAATCTTGGAGCAAGACCAATGCTTTTTTGTGCAGAGACTCAACATCTGTGCTGAAACAATTCATCCTAATACTAATAGTTAGTTTGACCATGTGTGACCCATTCCAATGAAAGGAACGATAAAACTGTTTGAATTTGAATCTACTAATTCTGTACTATTTTCGCAATGGTGGGAACGTCGAGTCTGAAAGATGTGGGTGCATGTGCCGAATTTTCCATGACTTGCACTACTAGTCTTGCGGTTTTTGCTGACTTCAAATCAACAAGGCATCCATTGCTTGTACCAGTAAGCAATAACCAGTGAGGAGCTACTTGCACAATGATACCAGTATCCTTCCCATCATGTATAGGAGGCCGTTTTTCTTGTGGCTGCAAGGTAATCTCAAGATTGACATTCCGAAAAGTCTCCTTCGTATGAACAGCGACGTCTGTGGCTGATGGCGCGGGGCAAACGGGTTCAAACCAGCGTCTACTGAGGGCGGCTAAGTGCTGCCAGTGTGCAATCAACTGATCAACTATGGCCAACTAAAGCAAATGGCAAAATGCAGTTTCTCAAATAGGCTCAAATTTTGGCGGATTTGCACAGCTTAGGCTTAGCCATGGCCGAAGCCCACATGCTTTCGCACGAGCAAGAGTTGGTGAATTAGGAAAAGTCTGACAGGTGCACATGAGGGACATCAGACAATCAACAGCAATGTTGTTTTCCCAGCTGTTCCCATCCAAGTGGACCACATCCTAGAACGCGAGGTTTTGTAAAAAATTGTGTTCTGTTCCTTATGTATTCCTGTGCACGACGTTCGAAACTACGCAACCGCATGGCCGCCATGGCCGCCATGGCCTCTGCACTGGGGTTCCCCCCAGCCCCAGGATTATGGCTCAGCACTGCGACCTCGGAGCACCAACGGCTGACCCCTGGAGGACTTAGCTGTTTTCAGAAGCTACTGGATGGGTCATGATAGGTCTCTTGGAAATTCTGGTGAAACTTCCAGGGTCTGCAAAATCACTATTTTCTGTAATTGGTTAAGGGGAAAATTTACAGGAAAACCCCATATTATCCCATATTGAATGGTAAAAACCATGGTTTCCTGTAAATTGTCCCTTAAACCAATCCATTGACAAGTCCAAGTCCCAGCTCGGCTCCACACTGATGGTGAGCCGCTGACGGGCAGCGGCGATCTCATCCAGCCAGGTCTCAGCCACGAAGCACCAGGGGATGCCGGGATGCCGCATACACATCAATCTCTTTTTGGTAGAAGGAACATGTGCAATACATAATTACATAATATACTATATAATATACATATACATATATGTATATTATATATTATGTATATATTATATAAATTATATATATATTATATATATATGTAAAATTCACATAATGATAGAGAAAGAGAGAGACAAATGGCAGCCTCGGCTCCAAGGTCATGATCCCGGCATCGCAAGCGTTGACCACCAAGACCTGGACAGCTGGAGCTGGGGAATGGTGGTTTTCCATGGGAGTTCCATGGGGATATCATGGTCTGAAAATGAGGAATTCCATGGAAATCCCCCAAAGAACCATCAAAAATATCAAAATAATGGGGAAGCTGAAAAGAAACCACCACCTTTTTTTCGGACACCCAATTGTTTGGGGCTGATATTCAGTGATTTAATGATGAATTCATGGGGAGATGATGCAATATGGATTCGGGATGGGTTCGAAACATTGTTTCGCTATGATTCAAGGGAATGGACATTCACAAGCGCAAACTATTTTGACGTGAAAACCTGGGCACCGGGGTTTTAATCCGTGGCCATGCGTGGCTTTCTGTAGTTCAATGTTGCACGTGCAGGCGAACACAAGGACTACCTCATTTCACCAACACGCTACGCGCAGGGATGACATCCGTCCTCAGTACATACGTCAGAGGAGGGGAAAATTGAGTATACCATAGTATACCCTATATCTTGGTCTAAGTCAAGTCTATATTGCAATTCACTACACCGTGATTCTGTTTACATCTGTGTGTGTGTGTAGTCGCACCGACTTATAGGCTCCACTCAATGTATCTCAATGTGACGTGGCTCACTCAAATTGACTTCATTGATGCCCACCTGTTCCCCATCTTTAATGGCATTTGATGGCCACCAATTGGAATATCAAACCACCAAGAGCCTACTGTAGCCCAAGTTCCCCGGCGGAGCTCGAACTCCGTGCGCGACTTTTGATTCAAGGCGGGGTCAGCCAAGCCTCATCACTGGTGTGACGGGCAACCAATTGTGAATGGCTTCGTTACAACTCTGCAACCCCAGTTAAATCTCAGTTCAGTAGGTATAACATGGTATAGCCATCTATAGCCCCATTATCCCATTTCTCTGTTGGGAATTGGAAGGCGCACATCTCCAAAGGATCTGTCCGGTGCACTTTTCGAGGCGTCCCCACATGTCGACATGCTGCTCACCCGCGAGGAAGCACCTCTGCATGAGCAGTGAAACATGCCGACCCGTTTGTGGTGCTGACCCGATTCTGAACTCTGAGGCTTGCGAGAGCGCCATATGTGTTCATATCTTGTGTTATAATGAGTTATTTATTTATATATATATACATATACATACACATACACATACACATACTGCGAATATGCCCTTCAAGATTGTTGGAGAAACCCTGTTTCCCTGCCTAGCGACCCTGTCAGCTGTGCCTTTCTTTTGGCTCTGAATGCCTCACCCTCCCACCTCTGTGGTGGTTCGAACCAACGAGCGGGGGCCGTCGATCCAAGTAAAGGAAGGTGCCTCAGAAGCTCATGAACGTGATTCCCAAATCAACACTGGTCTAAAATCAAAATTTTATTTTAAGAAAGACAGTGTTATTTCCCTAGTTCATGAGCTGCACCAGAGTTGCCTTGCAACCATTTCAACTTCTCTCGTTTGGTGGCTCTTTGTTTCAAAGTCTCACTCTCATCAAAAAGCTTGTAACGACCACTCTTCAAACACTCCCGTAACAAACCCGATTCCATGCTCTTTGTAAGGGAGTCCGCTAGCATGGCTTGAGAGTTGATCCACCGGAGAGAGATGT